TGCGCCATCTCCGCTGTCGGACAATCTCTCCACGGCCTTCAACGACGCCGACTCTTCGTTCCAGGAGAAGTTAGATCAGATCTTGTTCTCTGGTGGAGGGATGGATGAGTCCAGTATGGACTCTATATTCAATTCATTGACTGCGGCGTTGGCAAACGAGAATGGTCACCTCAAATTGTCGGCGAATGACATATGCAGGTACCTGGCTTACCTGAGGTCTTTCCATCCAAAACGATTCGATGCAAGGCTGGTTCGCTGGGTATGTGGGGTTCTGAAGTCACCATCTCGGATTGCAATGGTCCGTATCCTACCTCCTCTTATTGGAGTCGGTTGCGTCACCATACACGCTTTTGTGATGCTTGTGAAGAAGCTTTTACAATCGGAAAGGGTAGCCTCGGTAGTCCCTAAAGTCACGGATCTGCAGCTGGATCTTCTTGAACTCCTAGTCTCACAGGAGTCGAGCGGGAGCCGTTACACAGATATGGTATGCTTTATCGCTTTGCTTCGAGCTATGCACCCTCATTCCCTTTCCGCTAGTCCTGAAGCTTGCGCTTGAGTTACATTGTCTAATCCTGCTGTCTAGGTCACGTATCGCTACTATTTAGCACAACAAGAGTTCATTGACAAGCATCCCGAGGAGTGCCTCAATATCATTCGTGCTGCTGTGCCACTGATCAACATGAGGCAGACAGAAAGTGCGAGTGAATCGAACCCGGCAGACCTTACAAAGTGCGCCATGGTCTTGCTCCAAACCTTACTCACGCAGAAACCAGAACGCATGGTACAATGTTGTACGCAAAAGTTAGTTGGCCAAGACCCGGCGTCCACAATGATCCTACAAGAGGCTCTTGATGCTCTACTCGGCTTCAATTCACAAGGTTTGTTTGCAGTTTCCTGACTGTTGGGGTCTAGGTTAACACGATTCCAGATCCCCAGACTATGTCTGAGGCTGAGAGAGTCATTGGCATGAACAATGACTTCTCGCTCCCTATCTGTCAGTTGAAGCTCCAGCTCTTATTTAATGCAGAGGCTGGGAATGGAGTCGACAATGGTATCGTGGATGTGATGTTCAAGGCAGCGATGGCTGATGCTCGCTCAAAGCGTTCCCACTGGTACGGTTTGGTGAGTCTGATGAACCAGGATGCGGTACGACAGGTATGAGGATAGCTAAAACCCTTCCCTATTGTTTCACCTTCGCTGACTGTTGCAGATCCGCGAGCGAGCTGAAAAGGGTTTCTTTTCTATTCCTATTTTGGAAGAGCCTATTGGCGATCCCACCGTGGCAGACAAGTCAAACTCCATTGAAACCGCTCGGCTTTATCTGGCAATTATTGAAAAGCTAGCATATAGCATTCCTGAAACGGGCGTGCCATCAGTTGCGCCTATGTTGGTGGAGAAAATGGAGTTGCTTCTCCAGAAATTCATCACCATGCAGCCAAATCCGTCTGCTCCCGCAGAGTCGTGTCAGATAGCTCAGGCGCGCTCGAATTTCGAAAGAAGCCTTGCATTTTGGTTCTCGGCCCTGCTCAGACTTGTTGTCCTCCATCGGTCAGCATTTAACACGTCGGCACTAACACCTAAGCCGATCGGTCTCCAAGAACAAGCTCGCATGCTGATCTCCATTTTCTGCATCACTCTCGCACGTCTCCCGGACCGGGTCATTCGTCTCTATCCGTCAGCGAATTATTTCCCTCATCCTGTGCAGTCGGAAGGCTACCGCCCATGTCCCGGAATCCTGCTACAGACCCACGCTTTGGATGTTGCAGCAGCACTGATTGATACGTTCCCGGATGAAGCACGACAACAATGTGCCAGTTTCCTCAAGGAGAAATGCCCTCCTTTTCTTCAGTTCCAAAACGATTCCCGGTTCCTCTATCTTCTCGGGCCCGTGATGGACACATCAACGCTCAACTCGTCTCAACCCGCATCTCTACCATCTCCTGCGGCCGGTGGCTCAACCCCAACACCGACTGGTAATCTCGCTGGCGGGCCACCCAATTCACAACAAAACCTCTCTTCAGCGTCGGGCCTACCGGCTGGGCTTTCTGAAGGTGTCAATTGCATTGCAAGCCACCTTCGTTTGCAGTACCGTGGCCGGGTTCTTGGCGCCTATCCGGTTCGCCCCTGGGAACTTCTCGAAGACGCTGCTCCAATTGTCGGAATGAACGACACCGCTGTGAGTCTGAAGTACTTTGATGCCCGACGCGTCAGAGCCTAGGCAATCAGCAGCTCACCCCCGTATATAATGTCTGCTGCTTTCTTTTCTGATTTGAGCCTTATATGTGCTTGTGCTTGCCTTTTTGCTCGATACCATACCTATATTTTTGCATATATTGTCCACCTCATGTTGCTATACCTATAGGATCTCTTACATCCTTCTCCCATTCACTCATTTGGTTGTTTTTCTTTCGTTCATTTGTCATCATTCTGACCGCGGGTATCATGTCGGCGAGCAAGGGTGCACTGGTTATTGCCGTTTCTGGGGGTGTGTGCTTTTGGTTACTTTCTTTGAGGGCATTTGGGGGTTGTATATAATATAGAGACGGGCGTTTGGATGGGTCGGATGGCTCATATTGATATAGCATTTACGATTGGCATAGTATTTGAAACTGGCACTTGAATATTTCGATTAGGGCATGATTTTGTGCATAAGCGGATGGTAATATACTATCTATCTCTTCAGTGACGTTGGAGAACACTTGGGCATGATGCATGCATACATAGTATTAACTCGAGAATAGCAGACGTCTTTCTGGTAAAGGCTGGTTGTAGTAACGCTTGACAGTAGGACGCTTTTCAAATGATATCAATTTCCCTAAATAGACAACTGTGCACCCATCACAGTTCGTGATATTGGGGTCTTCATGCAGGCTAGTTTTCAATATGATGATATTGAAACTAGTGGGAACTAACTTTGTAAATCTCGAAATTGATTACTTTGTATTCCGTCGACCGCACTTTAGGACAGGCTACTAGGAGATGAGTTCGGAAGTATTTCCCTGAAGACATTGAACACGACGGCCTACTTCGTTACCACATTAGTACTGTGTCTGATAGAGAATGTGTACAGTAGCCAGTAAATGCACAAAATCTTACATGATGAGCAAATCAGTCTACTATCAACTAACTAGTACCACATAAGTAGAATAACTATGTAGTAGTATGTATGCCTGAGCTAGTTAGTAGTCAAGATTATCACCAGCATATACTAATATGGACACACTACTAAAGTAAGTTTAGATTTCACCAAGAAAAGCCCATTGATTCAGTCAAAGACTCCTTCAGCTTTAAAGACTAGTATATGCCCCATGTGTCCAAAAATACTACTAACGAAAAGGAGGTTATTTGAATCCCAACATAATTCCCCCGTTTGTTCTTGCAACTCATCAATTTATTCATCCGTCGAGTTGATCTAGTAGTATCTTAACTACTACTACCACCACCTCCTCCTCTTTCTTCAATTCTTTCTCTTCTCTTGTACTCAGTCCTTCAACTCCGACTCAGTATGACGACCTTCGCCATCCCCCTTCCTAATCGTCACAACCTCCAGCCTCGCTGTCTCTTCATCCGTCTGTCCCAATAATACCACCCCTCAGTGCTGCAGTCTCAGTTGCCCAAGGGATATTTCTTTCGGACTGTGGAGATCATAAGTGGCTGCTTGTTGTATTAGTATCATATATATTTGACTAACAAGGTATCACCTTTATAGCTAGGTCAACATTACTACCAGCACTGCTGAGTTTCAGTCCATAGTATGTAGAGAGCTGGATTACGAGGCTCGGTGCTGTGCCGAGACTAAGACATTTATGCAGACCCGCTGTTATGATGGGATTGATAATTAATTGGTATCGAGGTGGAAATGGGATGGGCGTGTATTACATTGCGTTGTTGGGGAGGGAAGGTTAGGTTGGGTTTGTGTAGGTAGAGTGTCTACTTACTTATATATGAAAATGGGTGATCTATTGACTCCTTGTCATGTTAGATCATTTACTTGGATGTTATTCTCGAAATATTTGTCGAATACTGATTTAATCGATTTGAAGTAGTACGGAGATGTATATACTAGTATTCAGTAGATTAAGGCATCTCATAGGGTATGGTATATTTGTTTGATGGCTTTTTCTTCGTTCTTTTTTTTGCCCCTACGATTAGATAGAATATAAATCAATTAACATTTAGTAGTGATAGTTAGACTCTTACGCAGTTTTTCTTAGAAACAGAATGGATGAAAGCCGTATATAAGTCTACTAACATCTTCATTATTCTCATTGTTCATTTCCACAACTTATAAAGGAATATCTTATGCCAATAACTCTTTGGCATGTCTTGCCTTGCCCTCTTGGTGGTAGTAGCTGGAGATTCTGGTCTCAGGATGAATAGATCAGCTGCAGACTTGATATCCAGAACAGCAATCAAGAGTATAAAAATATCTCGAGTAGATTAAAAAAAAAAAATCATCATCATATAGTATCTCACTAAATTTTTTCTGATGAGGTACCAGATGCAACGACGCAATCCTAATCTATCCCAAGAAATAACTGGCTCCTCCCAACAAGCAAATAGTATTATAAGATATTTAATGTTTTTTGTTTTCTTAGTTCGATAAGATATATTAGATAAGCTGCTATTTTCTTTTCTCTTCTTTTAGTAATAATGAAACCCACTCTAAATATTTAGCCTCCTTATGGAAGACCATAAATAGTTACTCCGTCTTCCGTCAATAGTACGCCAACATGTAGCATTTCAGCAAAAGAAAAATGCTCACCCAGCAGCCAAAAAAGGCCTTAGTGACAGAATAGTGAAATAGAGGGGGTAGGGAGGTATTTAGGTCTCCAACATCTCCTCTACTATCCAGTATCCATACTAGTATCCACAACGTCTGTAAGACGACGCTAAAATTATATACAGTATCTGCTGTTTCTTCCAGCTTCAATCTTTCGTCGACTCCTCTCACCCTAGCATTACTACTCCCCACAGCCTACAACAGAATTAAAATTAAAATGAAGACCTTCATCTCAACAGATCTCCTCTTCCTCATAGCCTCCAGCAGCAGTTTCGCTGTCGCTCAATCCTCCATCTGCCCTAAGGGCACTTCCCCCAAGTNNTGCGCTGACGATGTCCTGGGCAGCGCAGCTGATTCAATCTGCAACGATCGTAAGTGCTTTCTTAGTCTTAATAATGAAAACATCGCTTTTTCTTTGCTTTCCAAATTTTCTTTTTTCCGCGTTTTAACTTCTTCACTTAATAGCTCCCCGACAGCCAACTGATGGTGCTGATTTGAGTACTATTTGCGGAGACATAGGGCAGGAGGCTAGTTGCTGTTATCCTCCTGCATATGGCCAGCAGGGTATCTGTAGCCTAGTGGCTGACGCTTAGCGGGTTTGGGAGGGGAGTGTGAGTGCATTTGTGTTGTATTGCGCTGGTCGGGCTTAGGACTGGGGTGGGTCGGGTTCAGACGTGAAGGTAGGCTGTTTATACTATAGGCTATTGGGATATTTACTACTTACTGTCCATTGTTATGCTTGTCTGCAGGCATTTATGAATACAGAATATCATATCAGTCAGATGAAGAACAACGTGTGATATCTATCTCAAGAATAGACAATAATTGTAGATATGAGTAACTTATTATAGTACTTTACTGGTGCGACTGACCGTAACCCAACATATGCAGGACGCCAATAGTATACTATATAACAAAATAAAGGAAGTAGGGAAAACCAAATAAGGAAAAAGAAGAGAGGACCACTAATATATATACACAATACCTTGTGTTTTTATCCAACCGTTAGCACTCAGTCTGGCTTGGACGTCAGCACAGGCAACAAGCCTGCATCCCGGGCCTCTTCCTCCAACTCCAAGATGAGTTCACGGGTGGTCTCATCGCTGAGGTCAATCCCCCGCAACCTCTTCATTTCGTTAACGTAGTCCCTGACTGTGCGGCCGGTAGATAGTAGCATGTCGCAGGGAAGGTTGGACCGGTTGTCCTTGATATACTCCTCCTCCCTCCCTTGATCGGCCTCGCATGCTACTACTCCATCGCAGCCGGGTGTCGTAGGCTGTGTGTCAAGGGTGTTGCTCGATGGGGAAGAAGTGTAGGAAGAGGATTGTGGTGTATATGTGTTGGGGGCTTGTGATAATAATGTGTGATGAGTAGGGCATGAGGATAGGGGAGGTAAAGTACCAGAGGCAGGAGGGGGAGGGGGAGGAGGGGGTATGTAAAGGCTACCATATCCTGGTAGAGCCGGTGGCCAGTTAGACATCATAGCAGGCCCATACGCGATGGGCTGGCAGGATGGTATAGCCATAGAGGGCATATATAGTGGCGAGGTGGTTAGCCCCGCCCTTTCTTCGCGATGCACCACCGGCTCTACACGGTTTCCTGTGATACTGTCAGACAGGGGACTACTTGTAGAGTTAATAAGGAAGCCATACTGAGGCCATTTGCGGCCTGTACTCTCAGAGGACGACCTCTGAGAAAAATATTCTGGTGCTGCCTGATAGCTGCTTGAGCATGGGACCTTTCCTGTAAGCGAAGTGGGTTAACTCTGCTCATACTATAGAGTGTACAAGACGGTCGCTAGCGCAAAGGATAGATTACTGTGAACTGCACCCAACCGCTAAAAAGGCCAGTCTTTCCTTCGCGAACCTGCGCCCAGCACGTACCGAACTGGAAGAAGAGCTGCTCCAGTTCGTGCCGGAGGATTTCCGGACAGACACCGCTGGAGAGACTAGACAGCGTTAGGATTCTAGAAGTGGTGGGAGATATGCGTCATGAAGAGTCGCTCTTACTTTCCCACATGTACGCAGGCATCTGTGGGAAGGATGAACTGGGCGTTTTCCCTGGTAATTTGAATTGATTGTGGCTGATGCCCAGGAGAAGAGAAAGATGGATTCCACAGCTGAGGCTGGGGAGTTGACTGGTGGGTGGCGAAGAACAAGGCAGCCATGACGACTGTTGTACCACCTTTTTACAATAATTAAGGTAGTATATGGGTTAAGGATGAATAAAGAGGCGAGTATATCCGGCTTATTGCAGAACCAGCAGAGAATAGATTGTTGGACAACAGCCAGGGCGATAGAAAGTATTCTGATGAGAGTAGGATGGAGAGAGTGGTGAGGGAGAGAAGAGAACAGGGAAGGTCAAGGGAAGTGCCGGTTTTTTGCAGCGGTATGGAAAAGGCAGCTTCCTGCCTGTGACGTGAGGACGAGGTTATGGACCCTCGCAGACACGGGAGCTACTGATTCAAACTTGTCAAATGCTTTGGACACATCAACTGTGCGGTCAAACGACGTAAGTCACTGTATATGCTTCAAGCAATGATATGAATACTTGATATGAAGCACCCTGGCGATTTACTCGCTGTTTTGGCATGTTTGTTGCTCGCCAAATAGAGCAGAATGAAATCATTGGTGATATTTGAATCACTCCCAGAAGATGCCAGTATATCAAGAGAGCAACGGGCTGCTGTACTTGAGGGTGATCCTCCTTGATAATAGCCCCGTCGAATACCGAAACCACACGACCATCAAGTTATTCATTGAAGGCTTTCTCGCTGTTCCGACCAAGACCAGCGAAATCCATTGCATCCAGCCCGTCGTTTGACTTGGTACCAAGTTCACTCTTTCTTATTGGCCAACAACCGATGTATGCGCTCGCCAGATGATTGGAGGGATACCCGCATATCGTGACAGTTGATCCTCTCACCGCTTCAGATTCTGCTGGCAGAACGAGAATGGCGACTCGACGCCTGTTATGAGGCGTTGCTATGTGCCTACACAGGATTTATGTGTAGCCCAAGTCTTACTATATAGCTCAAAGATATTGCGGCCAATTTTCTCGCTATATGCAGTGGGCTATATTGTAGACTAGAGCCCATCCCAGGTAGATTTACCGGTCGATCAATACCACGCCCCGGGACATTTGCTGCTCTCAAAGTAGTCCCTAAATAACCAGTCAGTATTGTATGACAAAATGATAGAACACCGCAGATACAACTATTATACTCACCTTCTTGTTTGCATCGTTAGGGTCAGTCTATTGCCTGCCATCTTAAAAGCAAAGCCACCGAAGACAGCTAGCTTGTCCATTCCCCTAAGCGGTGAGACCCTCCAATCACCGAGACCGGATACCCTCTGCCTCAGGCATGCACGGCCAGCGAAATTCCGACGTCATGCGCAGGTCCGAGAATCTCCTCGACGCATCGCCGCGGCATTTCATTCCAGCACCAACAACCCCCCCAATCGGCTTGAATTCTATCCAACCAAGCCAACATGTTTCCCACGGCCCGATGCCTAGCTGCAAAGCCATCCGGCTTCCTCAAACGCAGCGTCGAGGAATTCGGTCGTCTGTCCCGAATCGGTGCGCTCCTCTCCACATACACTAACCAAACTATCGATAAACTGATTGATAAATATTTCCAATGACCAGCTTGGAACAGCGAAGCCCTCCACACCCCAACCAAGCCCTACGTCCTCCTCGACTTCGAAGATGAGTCGTCCGTCGCCAGCTGCAAGACCATGGCCGACCGCGTCGTCGGAGGTTACAGCACCGCCAGTCTCGACTACGTCCCGGCCGACGCGGCCACGAACAGTCCGGCACATGCTCGATTCCATGGAAGTATCTCGACTAAGCTTCCTAAGAACTGGCGCGTTGAGCGGACAGGTACATACCTCCCCATCCCTCCCCCTTAATCCATACTAAGAATAATCCGTACTGATGGCATTCTTGATAATAGGCTACGCCGCCTTCCGCAACCACGACCGCGGCCTCTGGCTCTTCGGTCGCCTCTACTGGGACGTCGACCCGTACACGTACCTCGCACTACGAGTGAAGTCCGACGGCCGTCGATACACCGTCAACATCCAGACGGATTCCATCGTCGACACCGATATCCACCAACACCGTCTATACACGCGGCATCATCGCGTGCAGCCCTCCTTCTCTACCTCGCACGCCGACTCCTCCGATCTAGCGGACCAGCTGTACCCCAATGGCAGCATCCCCGCCGCCTTGTCTGATATCCCGCCCGAGAGCATTGTCATGGGTAGTGGTAGTTCGAGTGCCACGACCTCTGGAGGCACGGGATGGGAGACGATCCTGTTGCCGTTCAACTCGTTTGTGCGCACAAATCACGGTATGGTGGTTGAGCCGCAGACGTCGATCATTCGGCAGAGGATCAAGAGTGTAGGCATTGGGTTGACGGACCGTGTGGAGGGGCCGTATGATTTGAGGATTCAGAAGATTTGGGCAACGAATGGTATGAGTGAGGCGGAGATTGAGGAGGAGAGGAGGATTTGTGGGGCGGATGCGTTGCCTGTTGATGAGGGGGTGAAGACGGGGTGGACCGGTGAGGTGGCTGGTAAGGGACAGAGTCAGAGGGAGAGTGTGAAGGAGACGGCGCAGGGAGAGCCCAAGGCGAAGGGGTTGAAGGGGTTGAAGGATGAGTGGGAGGCGTAGGGATGCAGGAAAGTAACTAACTTGATACCATATCTAGATTGTACAAAACAGTAATATACCTTTCTAGTGCCTAACTAGTATGCCATTTCCCATTTTCTATCCTCATTTTTGAAAGAAATCATACAATTGCAGTCCACCAGGACCTGATAATTAGTTACCCCCGGTGATCTTCTCCCACGCCTCCTTATACTTCTCACTAGTCTTCTCCGCAATCTCGTCAGTCATCCTCACGCCCTCCTTGCCCTTCAATCCCTCCTTCACCAACCAATCGCGGAGGAACTGCTTGTCAAAACTGGCCTGACCACGTCCAATCTCATAGGTATCCTTGGGCCAGAACCGCGACGAATCCGGCGTCAGCACCTCATCAGCAAGCACCACCTCGCCCGTCTCCTCATCAACACCGAACTCGAACTTGGTATCGGCGATGATGACACCGCGGGAGAGCGCATACTCGTGGGCGATCTTGTACAGCTGAACGGACAGAGAGGCGACAGTAGCGGCGTATTTCTCTCCGATGATTTCAACGGCTACACCAACAATTAGCTTTTCTTCTTCTCTTCCCAACATAATAAAAGAAGAAAGGAGTAATACCCTTATCCGGATGAATGTTCTCATCATGCTCGCCCAACTCCGCCTTGGTACTAGGGGTGTAAATCGGTCCATCGGGGAACGCCTCACTCTCCCTCAACCCCGCCTTGACAGGGAGACCATGCACCGTGCCGTGAGTCTGGTACTCCTTCCACGCGGAGCCGGTGATGTAACCGCGCACGATCGCCTCAATGGGCAGGATGCGGAGCTTGCGGACCTGCATGCTGCGGTTCTGGAGGATCGGTCGCAGAGACTCGGGGATTTGCGGGGGCAGGTCGAGGGTCAGGAAGTGCGTGCGGAGGGTGGGGAGAGCGGTGGTGAGCACTTCGAACCATTTGCGGGTGCAGAGGGTGAGGAGGATGCCTTTGTTGGGGATGCCCTGGTCATTATTTCGTTAGTATTTGATTGGTATGTGTAGAGGAATAGAGAATTGGGGTATAGGGATGGGGCATACATTTTCCATAATCACATCGTAGGCGGAGATGCGGTCGGTCGCGATGAAGAGGAGGGTTTTGTCGTCGATCTCGTACAGGTCGCGCACTTTGCCGCGCGCAATGAGGGGCAGGGCGCCCTGGAGGTCGGTTTGAGTGTATGCGGTGGCCATTGTTTGGGGTGGAATGGAGACAATGGATGGATGAGAGGGGCGTGGATAAAGAAGAAGTTTGAAAGAAATGAAGGCTAGAGAAAGTTAGTAGTTTAGAGGTTAGTTTGGGGACGCAATGGAGGGGTTCGTGGGGGAGTCATACTTTGGACGCCCGCAATTGGTTGATTGATAAGAGCCAGCGGGGTTGGCTGCCTGAGGCAGATATATCTACTATATAGTGGAGGTAAACAGCATGATAGTCAAGCAAGTAGTAAGTAGAAAATGGCTATGTTACTCATTATTCCATTAATCTACCCACCTCATAAATCCCGTTGTGATGTTACAATTACACCTCTCGCGTAGCCTCTCTTTTCCGGATATAATCCTCCCGCTCAGCAGCCCAGTCCGGATTCACCACCGACAGCGCAACTGCTTCTGTGCCAGACACACACACATCAGGATCAATGGTACGAACCTTGGCATTTTTATGTAGGCGCAAGCCATCCTCCTCCACCAGTCCTTTAGTCTCAAACCTCTCCAGCATCTCCGACCCCTCCGGGTCCGCAATATCCTTCAACAACTGCCAGAACTGATCATCCGACGTGTTCCACAACACCTTCTCGTGGATCCGTTCTTCGTGAACAAGATTCCCTATCAACTGCCCAGTCCCTCTGTACATCTCAACATGTGTCGGGTTAGACCACACCTCCCGATCCGCAACCAGATACGCCCGGGCAAGGTCTAGTGCCGCCTGCGGATCCCCGAGCACAAGCATTCGATTCGGGGACAATGCATCAGGGAATGCTTTCAGACTTGCGACGACCCTGTGCGCATCACTCAGCTGGAGTATCCCAAACGCAACTATATCCCGCAGGGCGTAATCGAGTCTGTCTGCGCAGAGATGGGGTGCCGCCATCTCAACAAGCGGGTACTGCTCTTCATCCAAGACAGTCTGCGGAACGCCATGTTTGGTTAGGATCTTGGGAATCTGCGTCGTACGAATATACCGTGCTTTATGGACTTCATGGTAACTCTCCTCGCCTGGTTTTGAAAGCGCCCAGTCAACCACATGGCTGAGTACGGTGTGGCTAATGTCGTGCAGAAGAGCGGTTACCTGTTCTTCGACGCTTCCCCCGGCGATGCGGACGAGCAGGAATGCCCCGACGGAATGCTCGAAGCGCGTGATCTTAACTTGCCGGGGTAGGAGCCCGAGGTGTCCGGTTACACCATGCTGGCAGATCCCAATCAGTCGACGAAGATCGGGCGACTGGAGCAGGTCGACCAGGATGGGCTCGGTGATGGAGTGGTCGCCATAGAGGGAGTCGCGGATGATGATGGTGCCGGATGCGGGGGACTCGTGAGTCTGGAAGTGCCCCGCCTTTAGTGCGGGGGCCATTTGTTGTCAGTGCTTCCGCCGATAGTCAAGGGGTTCGATCCAAGTAATGATGTTTCGATGAAGCTATGTATATGTTGAGCTTGATCTTGTGCTCGTATCGCTGCCGAAGTCTTTCAGGAAAAAGTGTTGCAGCGCGTTTGTTTACGGGAAGCTGAGGGGGAAAACAATGACCGGGAAACTCCCAGTTAATGTCATCTCCCCCGGTCACATGGCCGGCTGCTGATGATCCCGACTGACTTGCCTTTTTGTTTATTTCGGCGATGGAAAGTTCTGTCGTTTCTATATCAATCGCTCACAAGGAGCTTCTCCCTGCATCATAACTATGGGGCCTAGGGTCTCGACGCAAGGGAGAGCAATATCAGCTTTGCAATGGTTGAGATCATGGCAGAAGGCAGCTAGTTAGCTTCGTTGATCTCTAGTCGCTTACTATGATTGATTCTCAGAATCATATATTTTTAATACTATAACTCAAATACTAACGTACTGGTCTGAGACTAATCACTGTGAGGAAAGTAGATCATTGTTGATTGATATCACACCTCCTTTGCAGCCTGATGAGCACGCATAGGCTATCGGAAACATCTCGAACACTTGTGGGGTTGTGGATCTATTCTATCCCATGATCCTCTGCTTCTTCTAATTCTTCGAGTTATGACACGCGCAGAAGAATGGGGAATTTTCGACCACATAGCAAAAACCGCCATTATCCACTGTAAAATCGATGTGTACAAGGACAGAGGCGCAAAAGCTTACACTGTCTGTACCACTCTAGCGTCGCCTACATCTGTGCTTACGTGAATTTCTGATTGTACTCACAATGTAAGCGCCATATTTATGTTTTCTACATTGACTACTAATCAGTAGATGTTGGCACGGAGTGCAAGAACAGGGCAGATCTGAATATGAATTCGATCGCAGAACATGTCAATTTCTGAATGAAGAAGGATTTCACAAGGAATCAGTTCATGCCCAGACAATGATGCCTTCTTGATACGAGATACGTGTCGTACTACTGTACCATGTGGAGGATGCTTACGTTGCCCAGCTAGCTAGATGGTGTCCACCGTCTGCTCGAATAATGAACTGTAGACGTCGGGGCTATCACGAGGCCTGATGAAAATCCAGACATGTTGATATTATTTCGAATACAATAAGTAAGTAAGATGGTATAGGAATGATGATCTAAAACTTCCAGGTCCAATTAAGCTGACAGGTGTTCTGCATTTTGGCACCAGCGTACGAGACGTCAATACGTCAGCACTCCCATAGCCAGTGAATCCGCGCGTTTGCGTGAATATCTAGACCGAGTCATGCTCGAAATGGAGGAGACAGGCCACATCGACTGGCTCTATGGCGTTGGGAAACCCGAGACAGCCACCTGCGCCCCTGTAGTGGTGGCCGGCAAGGAGGTTGAACGAAGCGTTCGGGAAACGCGAGTTAGGCTCGAAACAAAAGTACTGCAGAAGTATGGATCCCTGATCTTGCAGGACCAAGTTCAGTTCACGGACCAAGAGGTATGGAAAGAAACAGCATCTAGCAACTACTAGTGGCCATCCGGGAATCCAAACAGCAAGCCTCTGGGACCCTCAACCTATGGTGGAAGCATAACAACAGCACTTGGGGATCCACAGATCCTCATTCGGTCGCTGATTGCTGAACCTGTAGGAGTGGGATTTCCGGCGCCTCTAGACCTGAACAGTGAACACGGACTGCCCCATTGCTGCTCCGGTCCGCATCCGTTGGTCACAATGGCGGAACTTTGCCTCTTTGTCCGTGAGGAAGTCAGTCGAGCGTGCAGAAAGTCGGCTGGTTGGCGATGGAGGCAGACGAACTGAGGGGTCATGTCCAATTCCGTCCCGGTGGCGCCGCGTTGTGCCTTCTCGCCCGTGGCTCCTCCGCCTTGTTTCTTTGTTGTCACTCGCAACCGTGCAGCGAGATGGAAAGTCACCTGTTCACGTTATATCTGCATCGCGAGTTACCGAGATAACTGTGTCGGACTCATGGGCGGACACGGAGGAGTTCGGAGGGTCGGATATCGTCACGCTGAACAGCTAAATGTCGGACGGCGCGTCCATGCCATTCGTGGAGGGTGGCATACAGAGTTCATTAAATCGACCTGGTCCAGGTGCCCCTGTCTTGGATGCACTCTCATCTACTATGTTTTGGAGGCCCTGTCGGCTGCATCATGTGGCTGTGTGGAAGTTTATTCTGCATTGATGTATCTATCTCCTAACATGAACATGATGTACCGTCCAGATTATAGAGTTTCCCCCCTTTCCACCACATTTCCCAGCGACACGGTCTGGGTATAGAAATATAAACAGGTATCTTTTGTAACATCACGGTAACATAATACCGTGCTCTGAGAATTTCGATTCTAACATGCATAATATGTGTGGATTGAGACCACTGTCCAGATGGCTATCTCTTCAGGACTTCGATCTGGGATGCGGTGGAAAGACGACAAACTGATGAATTTTCATAGCGTCGCTAGGACCCTGATAGTCAATTTATGCGACATCAAATATCTCTTCGGACCATTGAGCTGTTCGCTAATGTAGCGTTGAGGTCCATATTTGCCCCAGATAGTCCAAAACATTTCCGTGATCGTTTTTCGTGTGTCGTACTGAATATCGGAGGAACCTCAAGAATAACACTTGGGCATAGATCTGTGGGCTGAGTATCGGGAAGTTAATCAACTTGTTCCGTCGACGTTCGCAGAGCAAGGCGAGTGAAAATGGTGCCACCCTCATAGTGGACGTGGGAAACACTGATGACCAGACGCAACCGTTATCGAAAGCGTGCAAATCATAGGTTGAGGTAATGGTCGATATTGATATTCGCCATCGGATCCGGGACACAAGGATCATGCGGGGGAAGTGTACATTGGCCGGCTGAAACATATGATGGTAACATAGCTGGGTTTTCACCCCAAAGATTGAGCATCCCGTCGTCAATCTCATATTCGTTTGCAACTATAGGCCCCCGCTCATAGAGTTGGTAACCACGGCCGTGAAGTACTTCAGATTCACCAAGCGATGCTTCTGCAAGCATCGTTCCCATGTCACCAGGACTTGGTGAGAAGTTCTGGGGAAATGTGCTTTCTACAGCAGCATTCCCATCGCAGTCACCAGTAACAACAGTATTATTTCCATTAATTTGAATACTGTTATTTTCGTGGATAATCAAGGTTGGCTGGGCAGCGAAAGCCATAACAGGCGCGTTTTTGTTATGGTCTGTTTTTTTCTTGCATTTGTCTCGGGATACATAGCCTGTATCGTAACAATTTTTGACAATATCATCGACTGAATAGTTTGTTGAGAGCTCAGCTTCAGGAGTAGCTGTAATCTTAACCTTAGCCATGGTGTACTGCTGCTGGCCGTCGACATTCAGCTCCCAGCCCATTATGTCAAGGTAGCGGTCCGGCTCGATAATGCCAATGAGGTTGGTGTTGAGTTTCAGAAATGTTTCAAGGGAGACTCCATTATCATGGTCATCGCGAATGATGGAGTATGCCTTGGCTACGATGGCCCATTTAGCTTTGAAAGGGTCGTTCTGCCACAAGAAGCGAAGGATGCCCGACTTCGCTTTCTGAGTAAGGTCTGGAAACATGACTGAATAATAACCTAATAATCATTAGCCGATGTACATGCATGAGATGGAAGTGTATAGAATACTTCTGAAAGCAATGAAACTGTTCAGTGGCCGCCGTTTCCCATCCTGAGGTCGCTTGCCTCGCGTTTGATGAGAACGTTGGTTTGTACTGCCCTGAACGGCCGACTCATTATTGGTGTCCAGAGGGGGTTTCGATCTTGCAGTAGATTGCTCATTTTCGTGCGCGACCTGGTTGTTGGCCTTGGCTCGGGTGTCCTGAAGATACCTGAGGAGCTCTTCGAGTTGCTGGGGGGGCATTGTGAGGAGGAATGCGTTGAAAGCACGCTGAAGAGGTGAAGTGGTGGCATCCATATCGAACGTATATAGAGAGCTTTTTCTCAATACCAGCTAATGCTTAGGTACTTCGAGGTCTCAGCTAGAGACAGAATAAGAAGACCGATGATGAGGACATTGAGGGAGTCTGGGACCTCTGCTCTGAAGACGTTTGGATAGAGGGGGAAAGAAGTACTTAACACAATGAGAACCCTAGTGTTAAACACATAAACTAGCGTCATGTAGATACTGGTCCCAGGATAATAACAAAGATGGTAAGTTGTCTCTGCGATGAGTGTATTCTTTCACGGAAATTACCTGTATGATCCATTCACGAACTAAGTTTCACGGACATCAGGTGGCGCATGTTGTAAATCTTCAAAGAGTTTCGAACTGACCAGTCGGATCATACTAATAGATAGGCCAGACGAATCAGGCCCCACATAATTTGATTAAGTCCGTGCATCACCATAATTGTACTATATCCTCTTGGTGCTATTCCACTGCTATATCCGGATTTCAGATGAAGTATATCACAGCAATTGCCCATAGAGCACCAGCTGTGAGTATGGCATGTAATGCAGGGTCCTCAAAAGCATTGTTGCTGTCAAGAGGAATTGTTATCGCCCCATTTTCTGGGCTAAATTATAGGGTTGCCAATTATGAGCCAGCAACAATTCATTGCCCCCGATATAAGAACAAATCCCCAATATTCATTTTGGGGGTCCAGCTAAATAGAGAACTTGGAAACCACAAAGTCGAGCCCCGGATCCTGACCCATAGAATCATCAGAAGGCACATAGAAGCGCATCATATCCACAAATAACACCAAGCAAACTGTCGGAAAAGAATGTGTTGAATATGATCCCACGAATATTCCATGCAAACGATGATGGACAATTTGCCGGATCTTCCAACTGCCAGCATCAAGCCCAACAGTATATCATTGACCCATGTATACAGCTGAATTTGCAAGGGATTCAAGGAGATGATGTATATCTTTAAAAAACAACATACGCCAATTGCGTACCATGGGAATATGAGATCTAGCAACTTGGCCCCAAATGCCATGCCTTTGCTATTGAGTGCCTACTTCTCTCTAGACACAGAGAGATTGGGATCGTCAATTTGACAGGTTCAGATCAACATCGGCGAAGAACCGGGAAGTATACATCAATCTCCAGCAAGCTGATTTTGACAACTACGAAATTTCCAAGCCATATGGACCCGAGGTCTGTCGAGATAGAGGAGCCCTACTGACTTCAACTATGCTGGTTCATGCCCTTTCACTTATAAGTTTTAACTTTCAGCGTAAGCATTGAGACTAAGTTTCCTGCGATCCATATAGCCTCACCCCTGGTAATCAGCTCCTCTTCTCTGGCATAACTATCTACTCCTTTCTTGGGGTTCTTCTGTGGTCATTGGATATTCGTGAACGGAAAATGACAAGTGGGAGATCGCAACACTATCCATAACAAAATGGCATAATTGTCAGATACCGACTTCTTCTTTCTTTCTTTTCCCCTCTTCCTAACATACCACTCCCCGATGGCCTGGCGCCCATAATGTCCAAGTAGTGTCTATCTCACGCTCAATCACACCGTCACGTAACTTACAATACAGATTTAACACGGCCATGGGCCCTAAGAACAAAACCGACCCCCTGTATTTCTGTGACCCACCAACTAAGACCTATTCTGTGACACCATCTGGAGAAATTAGGAGTCGACATAAACCTGTAATATCTATTAAATGACTAGTAATTTACCGGGCCGAAAAAACATAGAGAGGCCGGGGGCTGGTGAAGTGTTACTTCATCGAGAAATGTATGGACCCACTAATAAACTATACTATGAGAGAATCGAGCTGGGCCTTTATCTTGAGGGGACAAAATATGTTTGGAGCAGCAATATTCACTAGACAGACTGAAGGCGAGAGGTATATTGTTGTCTTGTTGATACAGGGCAGGCAAGCAGACAGTAATTTCATCTAAATGGGTCTGTTGCTGCAGTTGTGGGTAGACGAAGGGGTCCTATGAGTTGGGGAGGCTCGCTGCTACGAGGCACCAGACACTTAGCCGAGACTTGTTACCATTACTCATTCAGTAGTTATGGGTGCACTGCGTGTATGATAATAGCTGAGGAACAAACAGAGAGTGGGCTGTAAGCTGAAGTTCTGACAACGTAACTTGCTCGGCATCTGTTGCATCAAGTGCGCATCGTGTTGGCGAACATTGTCATTATCGAAAGCACTGGCTACCTTACGATATTATAGAGCATAATCTGCGACCGTGTTTCATTCGTTGCTGTGGCTACCTACGATGCCGAAGAATTCCAATCACTTGCCCAAATAAATGTCGGACAGCGCCATTGCGTACCTTTCTCCTTGTTGCCGCTGGGTCCAAGAGGCCGAGGACAAATCCAAAAGGACCGGCCACAGTTGATGCCAGGCTTTTTAGTTGTCAGACTAATGCATGGCTCCTGGTGGCCCTCGCAAAGAGGGGCGCGCTTTTTGGAGAATAGCTTCGACCAATCTTCCTTGCTCGCGATTGGGTCGACGAATGTGTCATCATCTGTGGGGGTGTCTGATGTCGTCGACACCGGTGGATTGGTCTCCTTTATGGAGTCTGTAGTCACGACCGCCGCAGTTTGCTCCTCGTCTAGTGCTTTTGACTCTGCCGAGGAAACAATCTTGGATGGGGATGCAGGTAGTCGCATGGCACATACTCCATGGTCGTTCGTTGGATGCTCACGGCTCTGAATGGCTGGAGAACTCTTCGGCTTGAAGAAGCCCTTCAGCGTTTTCTGTCCAGCAATCGCCGGCGCAGGTGCCAAGCCAGCAACTGATTTTGGGCGTTTAACAGGGGAGTCGTTCTTCTCGGACCGTTTACGGACAATTCCCTTCGGTTGGGGATCGTTCTTGGGAATGGCGGGGCTGGCGACTGCTACCGTTGGGGGCTTTTCGATGGCAGCTGTCGAATCCTCATGACTCGAATTCGCACGAGAGAGCGTAGGGGTGCTAGCTGGCGAGCTCTGCGGGGCGTTGCTGGGTCTGCGCGTGAACATGTCCTTGATGCTCCTTCGTTTGTCAAACTCCGGAATCAAGCGGCCCGAAGTCGGTAATAGATACTTCGCCGTATACTCCTGTCGACGCTCGCCATTTTCGAACATTCCAGGCGGATTCATGATGTCCCGGATGTTAAGTTGCTTTCCTCCAATATTGACGGTTTCTTTGAACATCGCATACACTGGACAATGGTCGGAACCCTGTGCAGTCATGATTAGCAAGCTTTTTCTTAGGTCAGGGAAGACTATGGTACCATGAGGCCTTCTTGTATGTTTGAATCGCAGAACCACTCTTGCATATCCAAGCTACACAAGACATAGTCAATTCTTGAGCCATAATTTCCAGGACGAGCATTGATGCGCTGCTCCCAGCAGGTGTACATTCCCTTACGGCCCGGGTGAAAAGAGCGACAGATATCATGTAGAACGGGCTGTTCCCTTCCTTCTTCGCGCTCCCCAATTACCTTTCCATCTGATAGCAACTGATTGAGCACACGCCGTGCATGAGTGGACACGAACTCGTCTTCTGTCAACGTTCCTTTTCTGATAGCCTCCCCCGCATGAGCTGCATCGATCTCGCCCCGCGAGATATTTAAGTCCCCTGTCACAAACACCCTCTTTCCCATAGCTACTAAATTACGGATCCGCGCGTCCATCAGGTCAATGAAACTGCGGCGAAAAGAGTCGCGGCTCTCGTCCCGATTGGCCGGTGAATAGATGCCCAGCAGGACAAAGGCGGGAAACTCGAGAATGACACAACGTCCCTCAGAGTCTAGGGTAGCTGCGTCAACTTCAAGCTGTGACAACTGCTCGATGGTAGGATAACCACCGATCTGCTGATTCTCAGGGAGTTCCCGAAAAGAGACCGACGAGTTCGGGGGGCATAGCATCCCCGAAAGACCTTCCTCGGCGCGAATGGGAGCACATGTGGCATTGCGTGTGTAGATTACGACCCCCGAATAACCTACGGTAGTTGGTCAGATCCAGCAGTCATTAAGAGACATATCGCACATACCTTTTTTGACTCTAGGCAGACTAAAATAGCAATCCCAACCAGGCACTAGGACCATGTCATCGCGCAAGTCTTTGCGCTGGATTTTTGTTTCCTGAAAGACGACGATATCGGCCTCGAGGATGTCAAACATGGCCTTTCTGGTGTCAGTCTTCTGCTTATAGAGGGAATAATGGAAAGCATACATCGAACGTCCGCTTGCCTCTCCATGGCTCGTAAGAGAACGGATTTCTGTATTAAGTCAGCAATGCTATCCCAGCAGGCACTAGGTAGCATTACATACCGAATCCCATTGACTGAAGCCCGTTAGCATCCTTATCGCAGAGCTATGTTCGGAGAAACATACCGTTCCATGTTGTAATTCGTAACCCCATTCCGGCACTATGGATGCCAATCACACATGTCCGCCCAGGGATTACCAAATTATCCCACTCAGCGGCAATTAATAGTTATAATTCAACCACTCATATGAAAATACCACCCAGATAGATGACACCGTCACCAATTATCCACGTCAACAGAGGTGTAGTGTAGTTACAGAGCTGCGATCTACGTCGCCAATGCAACCAGGAAAGGAAGGGAGGCGACGAGGCAACGCTGAGCCGAAGGCAGCAACAAAATTAATACCTCAGGCAACCTTTGTCCAACTGGGCATATCCTGCCTGAGGCATACAATTTTCCAAGCATTGCAAATGGCACGTGATTACAGCTAGCCACTCCCGTGACCGTGACATCACGCGATCTGAACCCGGCTGCTGACATAAGCACAATGAGTGCCAGCGAATCACGGGGACGCTAAACGGCTTTTGTTTCGTTAAGCCGGAAGGGCCGACGTCCGGGATAATCCCACCGTCAAAGACGTCGTCCCATCTCTCCAACGTCACTCCTGCACCTCATCCACCTCCAGCCATGTTCCCTCAGCGCAACGCCCTTCGTCTGTCTCAGCGCGCTGCCCAGCAGCTGCGTGCTGCTCCGGTTCGCTCCACCGTCCAGCGCCGTCTCAACAGCTCCGACTCCAAGCTCCCCTCTTGGGCCGTCGACAACGAATTCAACCGCGAGAGAGAGGCCGTCAAGCACCACGCTGCTGCTACCAGTGGTGCGTATTGAGATCAATTGATGCCGAGATCTTGCAAGGATGTGGTTGTGCTAACTCAATGGCTGTCTTACTGCTCCAGATCTGTGGCGCAAGCTCTCCATCTAGTATGTGGGCTAGCTATTACTACCGCAATTGACTTCTAGTAACATTCTACTTTTTCGCAGCGCCGTCATTCCTGTCCTGATTGCCGGAGGTATCAACGCCTACAACCTTTGGACTGAGCACTGGGAACACTGGGCGCACATGCCCCCGCTCGAGGAGCGTACCGAGTACCCCTACCAGAACATCCGTGTGAAGAACTTCCCCTGGGGAGACGGTGACAAGGTGCGTCCCGGACATTTTACTCTCATGCAATGCCAATCTGAGTGCTGACGATTTTATTTCTTTCTCCAGACCATCTTGTAAGTTCCTTACACCCGAAATTTCCAGCGTCGGGCATAACTCGACAGTCAATAATAACGATGCCTTCTAACAAACTCACAGCTGGAACTCCGACGTCAACTACCACAACAAGGACAAGGCTACCTAAATGCCCGCCGTTGATTATGGGAGTACAGCGTCTTTGATTGATCTTGACTGTTGACGGGAGGGGAAATCAAAAGACATGTATATTTACTGACAAAATACGCGGAAGTAAGAATAACGAGGGCAAGGCTCTCGTTGGTGGAGTTGAGATAGCGCGCCATACAATACTGCTAAGCCATTTTTCTTTTGTTGTGCTGCCTCATTGTTCCTAATGACCAGTAACGGTCGTATTGGCTTTTCTGGGTATCTCGTCTACCCGTATTACAGGAGTAAATAGGCGCAGAGGTCGACGCCAAAGACTTCGTTGGTAGTTTTCTTATTTCTTCTGCCACCTTGCCATAACATAAACGCACAATTGACATCAGTGCGTGATTCAGTCAAGCCTCCCCCAAATCTATCCTTGCTTGTCTCTTAAAGTCCAAGTACTTCGCCGCATAATCATTTGCGAGGACCGGATCGCCCGTTAAATGCATAACAGTGGCTTTCTTGGCCACGATTTCACATTGCCCCCTGATATCTTCGATCTCCTCATACTGCTCATATGCACAGTCGAGATATCCCAAAGCGCGAGTGACATGCTCCTTCTTCAGAACCGAGTTCGTCTGTCCCTCACTCCAGAGAGTGCCCGCGATCCCCATATTCGCGTCCACAAGAAGCGAGTAGGCCTGTGCGGCTAAGCTACAGTCACCCGTTTCGAGTATCTGCGGCATGATGCTCTCAATCAGCTCAGACACGGCATCGAACTCGCGCATGCTGAGAAGGACGCCTGCCAGCACACATATGGATTCCCAGAGGCTGGGAAGGAGACGCGAGCGGTGCGCGATGCTGGCAGCTCTCATGGCAAGAGAGAAGCCGCGTTGTGGATGGCCCGTCTTCTGGAGGATGTAAGCCTTGAGACAGAGGAGCTTGACTTGCGTGAAAATGTCAAAGTTGTCTTGCTGGATAGCCTGCGCGGCTTTCTCAACTAGTTCGAGCGCGCCGCCATAGTGGCCTTGGCGAATACGGAGGTCGATCGTGAGAATGGAAAGAAGAAGGGTAATGTCGTTGTCAGGGAGTTGGATGGCTTGCAGTTGAGCGAGGAGTTGTTCGGCTGCAACTCGGTTGTCGCTAGATGTTGTGAGTGGGTTGTCAAGGATTTGAGTGCCAGGAACCTACCGATATATTTGCCGTTGCAGCTGGAGGATACCGGAGAAGAACGTCCAATATTGATATGTTTTAAGAGATCGAAGCTTTTCTGGGGAGATTTGGTTCATTCGGGCTGATACCTCTGTGTAGCGGCCCTGCTGTGCTAGCTTTGGAGGGTCAGTGATGTTACTCGCTGAAATAGACCGCTGACATACTAATTGACAGCTACGGAACGTGCTCTTGAGATGGTCTTCGAATGGTGCTTTGTTTGCGTAGCATTCGCGAAAGGTCTCGCTGCTCAGCCATGCTAGATGTGTGATACCTGAAAAGTGTGTCTTAGCAAGAATTATCACAATGGAATAATACAGATGCGAACCTATTCTAGAATAAAGTGCAGTCTGTAGCAGAAGCTGCGGGCCTACCGAGTTGGCCAGGTTCTTTGTAACGTTGAGGTGTGAGGCTCGAATTATGTTCTCGATAGACGAGGCCAGACTTTCTCCCTGGGAGATGTTAGTTTTCAGTGATCCATGAGGTTCGTCGATATAGGGAGACTTGCATTACGCATCTCCAGCTTCGCTTCGCTCAATAGCGTTGTACTCAGAAGACTCCACATCTCTGTCTCTTTTGCCTTGGCCTTGAGGAATGCTAGGCCTTCCTTTTCGTTGCCCAACATTCCTGTGTTTTGAACGTCTCTCATGTGCTCTGGAAAAGCCTTACCGAAGTGATACAGCCAACTCATACAGAAATTCAAGCAGTTCATATCGTGAGATTCTCGAGCAATGGAAACAGCCTCCTGCATGGCAGAGACGGCCTCGCTGTAGCATCCAAAATCTGCCTGCAGGATAGCTAGATTCAGCAACGCATACTGATAGGAGCTTCGATCGCGACTGTGCATCGTGCAGTCGAAGTAACGGTGCAGGTTGTCAAAGGAGGATGGATAATCTCCTGCCCTCCAGGCATCCAGGAACCTAGAGAGTCAGCATCCCGAGGTGTCGCGAATACATTGGCAAAAGGCATACCTCAGATAGTGCATTAGACTAGGAACAGTCACACCCGAAGTGATGATACGTTCTAATTGGGCTTTCATGTCATCCGGCACTCTTCCCCCCAGACCTAGACAGCAATCAGTATTGATCATGCGGACATGAAGATGGGGTTTTTATTACTCTGTAGCTCGCTTATTTGAAATTCTAGGAGCCGTTCGACATCCTTTGTGCTGACGTACTGTTCATCCTCCGAGTCATCCTCGATGCTGCCGTAGGCGACCTGCGCAAGGGAGTCCGTTGTATTCAGGCCAAGATTCAGCAGGTTGACATCCACGGGTGCCTGTTCGAGAGACGGATTCTTCCGCGCCCATACATGGTACGTTGGCAGTCGATACTTGACAAACCCCCTCCAGAGCTTGACGGAGTCATGGAATTGCAGTCTGGTGAACTCTAGCTGAGAACGTCTGACAAACGCACCCAAGGGAGAACAGCGTGACAGGCGCATGCAGCCCGTCTCCGGTGCAAGGCCCGCATCTCGATCGCGAATTTGCTCTTCGCGAGTTTTGGCTAGAATAGCCGAGATGTCAGCGAAGAAGACTTCCAACGCATCGCAGCAATCAAGGGACCAGATCTTTTTCAGAAAAAGATCCCAGATTGTACGGCCAGGGACGGAGGACGGGTGGCCCGTTAGATTAACCTCCAGGTCAGTGATGGAGACGGAGCATTGCGTTCCCTGATCTCCCGCTTGGGAAATGGATTGTTCTCTTTCCAAGGGGCTGAGACAGGCTACCAGGTACGAGAGGACATGAATGGCGGAGGAGTTGGGAACGACTCCTTCAGTATAGATGGAGATGAGACAAAGAAGGGCGATCTTGGAAGGGGTAAGATAGCGACTCATGGTGGTTAAAGGTCATACATGGCTTGGCCCCACCAGGAGGAGGCTATGATAGTTGCAGCCACCACGCGGCCTGCAGTTCGCAAAGTCCCAGACAGCTAGATGGAAATCAAGTGGTGTTGGACTGTCCGAGTGAGAACAGCAGAGAGACACAGAAGCAATGGGCAGAGTGGATACTGATTGTTTTGATTCTTTCGGATGCTGTTGGCCAGACCAATCCTCGCGCAGACGGCAGGCATAAACAGAACCGTGGAGGAAAAGCGTGAAAGGGGAGTGGAAAAAGAATAGTGCAATGCAGGATATAGATGAAAGCAACGAAGAGACAAGTACATACGACCACAGGGTGTGGAAAACAGGGCTTCCCGTCCGCTCAGCCGTACTTAAGCCACACGCCGGGAGGTTAGTAGTTGGGTGGGTGACCACCAGCGAATCCCTTCTGTTGTATGTTTTTGCTCTTTTTTTTTTTGGTTTCACCACTTGCTCTTGGAGCCAAGTAAATGACAGTCGGATGTTGGAGAGCCCTGGGCAATATTATTATCAGTAAATAATTTCTGGTTATTGAACTCCTACCGTCCAATGAGCCACTTGTGACCAAGTGCCCTTACCAGACATTATGACTATTGTAACTGTAGCCGCCGACTCCATCTTAGGTTTGTTGTCAACAACCAACCGGTGCTTCCTTTCCTTTTTGCTCCACACCATGTTCTCTCATACATGGGGCAGTGCATCCGGCGCCTAAAGCCTGATACAATACGCTCAATGATCGGCGAATCGCAACGAGTCTCTCAATACTTACGTGATTGCATTATTGCCGCTGCTCCAAGAACAACCTAGACATGTCGGTGGTTACGACACTCCGTTTCCCACAGACTGTCCACTTTCCCAGATCACAAGGGGAAGAGGCCAATTAAAGCTGACATATTGCCGCGGAGAGTATTCTTATGAGTGGCTAGAGGAACTGTGTTCACTTATAGATATTATTCTTGTCTTGAAATCTGCTGTGCCTGATCACCACCTCGCGTCCCGTTTTGGTATTATGCATTAGCACGGCATCTATAGCGGCCGCAATTGGTCTCATAATACAGACCTACGAATCGGTAGCTCGCTACAAGATAGAGAGGCTGAGTTGTGCAACATGCAGCTGTGCCCGCATCTGCCCTCATCACTTCTTCCGTATCATCCACCGTTCAAGTCAATACTACCAAAGACGGCATCAGCACACTACTGGTATAAGGTAGAATATGGAGCACACAAAGTCCGCACGTAAGGGTACTATCCTATTATGTCTGGAATATCTGGCCCACTGATCCTTGTGTCCACAGTTACGCCCGATAACTACGCTAGAGCAATCATCTCGCTGTCACGAAGATACTCAAGCACCTCAGCCTTCCCAGGAAACAATTATGTGGACATTGCAGAATGGATGATTCAAGAGCGTTACCTTCTCAACTCCGTAAAGCAAGAGAAAGATGCCATCTCGTCCCCATTCTGGTCGGAGAAGCCACACGACTTAGTTGTGGTATATAACAGCGGCGAGAGGCAGTGGGATGTGCAACAATATAGCCAAGAGCAACACGAAGACTTTTCCGCTGCTACCCCTGTTCCAGCAAGCGGTTCGGGGAAAATAGTCTTCATTAGAGGTTTCATATCACCATCGTGGGTGTCGGCCATTGGCAGCAAGTACAACATCGAACCGGAGTTCTTCAAACGACACATGGATTTTCTTTCTATGTGCATCGACAGGCATTCATACAGCTTTCCATCGCTTGTTAGCTCCTCAAATAACATTATACGACTTTGTGTAAGCACTATTCTTCATCGTGATGATTTCGGCGGACAGGATCTGCAATCACAGCGGTCATATCAACGCTCAGAACTTGGAAGTTATAGGTTACAGCAGCTTGGATCTAATAGAGTCCGCTGCGGTGACTCTTTGGTGCGCGAATACTCTACTGTATGCCCACGCTTCTCTGTGATTGAACAATGGATATCACTCTACATAACAAAGACTGATAGAGAATGGGCCGGTAAGAGATGATATGCTTCCTAAAAAAGAGAATATGTGCTGATACGAGAATTAAGTCATTGCCTGGATGGATCATGGTAGACCCTTAGAAGAATCTCCTCCAGGACCATGGTCAAGTCATTTGAAATCCAAGGCTACGGCCTTACCAATCCTCCAGTATCATCCCAAGATGGCATTTCGAACCACTAGCAACCGTCTCGACCCAGATGCGAATGTCACAGCAGAGGTTCAGCAAAGCACAACCATTCTCCCCTTGCAGTACGACTCACTGATCGCCCTAGTCGATTTGGCACGTCGCGCTCCTCAGGATCCGCTTTCCATGTGCATCCCATTGTTTGCACATGCGGCTTTCTCTGAAGTTCAGTTCCTAAACCTCATGGAATCCAGAATTCAGAAACAAGTAAACTCCATAGTCGAGGGTCTCTCAACTGACGCGTTGGGTACACTTCAATACTTCTCTAACATCCTTAATCGTCATGCCCAACAGCTGAAGGACAGTACTCGCGCTCTTTTCAAATTGACCGAGCGAAGCAGCCAAGGGCTGGATGGAACCAGAGTGGAAAAACAAATTGCAAAAAATGCTGGGCCTCTGGGTCTCGACATCGGCTCGTGCCGGCAGATCTCAGGCACTGAAATGGTCAAGAATGTGAGATCCAGTAGTTCTGATGGTACCTTTACATCAGAAGGGCTACTGGAAGACTATGAACAGCTTTATGCCCGTTGTATGGAGTTGTCCGACTTGTGTACTCAGGGTATCAGTCTGGCTATGAATAAAGCCACAATTGATGAATCCCGCAGAGCGATTGAGCAGTCTGAGAGGGTGAAGAAACTTACTCTGCTTGCGACGCTTTTCATTCCCCTTAGCTTTAGCTCCAGCTTGTTGGGCATGAACATTGATCTTCTTGGGCAAAATTCGGTGCAGTCTTGGTGGTTTTTGGTCTTGTGCATTCCAATAACTCTGTTTGCTTACATCTTCTACCTTTGGGATTCTCAAGCCCTGAGGCGATGCTTAGTGAGATTCTGGAAAAGATGGTGCCGTGCTAAGAGGAACGTGACAGCTGCAAAAAGCTGGAAGGATCCTAGTTACATTGTGTGATCTTATAGCTTTAAACTTGCAATGGCACCGTCGATACAAACATTTTTTCACGGCATTGGTTATAAGCTACTTGAGCTTAAAAGCCTGGAGCCTGAAGCATATTAACAAGTTCGTCAAAAATTCGGCTTACTGTAGATTATCTGCCATGTCGCCATGTTGCACCATACTCGATCAGGCTACGCTAAACCCCCCAATGCAACTGCAATGATAATCTGGTCTCCCCTTCCTTTGCACGCTCCGGATGCTGTCAATCAGGACCACAGTTGCCTTTCATCTAGTATCCATGGCTCCTTTGACTACCGAGTCAGTGCTTTCCCCTTCACATCCAATAGAAGGTATGTATTGGATGGTGGTATTCGAAGTTACATACTAACCAAGACGGCCACCAGCTTCCCCGCAGTTCGCGCCTGCATTTTCGACCTGGACGGACTGCTCATCAACACGGAGGACATAATCACTCTGTCTACGAATAAGCTCCTTGATAAATATGGGAGACCTGCCTTTACACGGTCAATCCGAGCCCAGCTTATGGGCATTCCCAAATCGACGAACGGCGATGTATTTCACAACTGGGTAATTGCCTATACCCCGAGAGCAATTCGCTCGCGAGTCGACTGAGCTAATGCAAGCGCATTTTCCAAATTGCAAGCCGCTTCCTGGGGCAGAGAGACTTCTTTCAAATCTCAGCCGCGCGCGTAGTACTTCTTCGATGGCCAAGATACAGATGGCACTGGCATCTAGCACCAAGAGCCATAGCTACGAGTTAAAAGCTTCGAGTCCGGGAACAGAACAGCTGCTTGGCTTCTTCCAGTCAGACAGGAAGGTTCTAGATGACGACCCACGATTGCGACAGGGTCGAGGGAAGCCGGCTCCTGACATTTTCTTGATCGCATTACAGACGTTGAACTCAGCTGCAGATTCTAGTGAAACCCCAATCTCGCCCAATGAGTGTTTAGTCTTCGAAGATAGTGTAATTGGGGTGGAGGCTGCAAGACGGGCTGGAATGAGAGTAGTTTGGGTACCACATCCAGACGTGGCTGGCGAGTATCAAGCAAGGCAGGAGGATGTTCTGGCTGGCAGGACGAAGTTGATTGATATTGGAGACGACTGGCAACTAGGGGAGATTGGTGGCAGTTGGGCTGAATGTATAAAGAGCCTAGAGCACTTCGACTACGAGAAGTACGGCATCGATGTGCCACTTTAAGTGTTGACGGAAGAGTTTCGATCCGATCTTTCTTTGATAAGAGTCAAATATATGAGGTGAAAAGCCTCCTCGTTCCTAAATAACGAGAACGTCGATGCGTGGAGGGAGCATGAGCGATATTGCAGCATGACTGATATCAAGGATCAACCACTGATGTGACCGCGCGTTCTTAGGTGCTGAATATCATAACTTACCTTAATTTTCGAGAAAACCCCTGATCGTTAGGCACTTTACAGCATGAGTGTTCATTGTTTGTTCTAGCATGCCCGGCTTCTTACAGTTTGTCCCGTTTGACTGTCATAGACAAGCCCTGCTCCAAGTTCGAGTGTCAAACGGACGAGTTCCACAAACGCTGGCACAACAGTCACTACTTAACATGGTATTCATCAGGACCTTATAACCACTTACAATGATTGAAACGAGTGTACGCCACCATAGGAAGTCGCGGAGAAGAAACCAATGGTTTGAGGGTCTTGGGAGACAAGAACCCGAACGGGATATGTGATGTTTTGACAAGCTAGAAAATTTTGGCTCTGATAACTTATAGAGCGAGGGAAAACATGAAAATAATATATATATTTATAACAGAATGTACGTGAGAACGTCCAGCGTTCAGGAATTAGTTCTATGTTATTTACACCCACCATAAAACGGCGTCTAAAGAGAAATCGACCTGTTATGGGGCATCCTGATCTTGTATAGCAGCGCCACATATGCTCTGTTCGCGTTAGTATTCTCGATAATATTTAAATTGGGGCCAGGAGATTGAAAATACCTGTCGCCTAGTCATAAATTCCTTATACATTCCTAGCCATATTTCTCGAAGATGGCAGTCATCTCGCTGACCAGTAGCAGGGTTGACCTCGCAAGGAGGCTGGGTTTGCTCGATCACATGTTGAGTAGCTGCAACCCATGGCTAGCGCCAGACTTAGCACAGTTTCAATGGAGTCCATATGGTGCCAATTTCCTTGTTACGTACCTTGGGAACTGGCCAGTCCGAGAAATGGAGATATTTAGCGGTTCTTAGAATCTTTTCGGCATCCCAGGATTCATATGTATTGCCCAAATATGCCTCATGATTCTTGGCGCGGAATTCTCCCGTCAAAAGCATGTAAGGGCGATGCGGTATAACGAGGGTATCATCTTCGTATAGCTTGTTCACAATCTCCATGTCATATTCTTCAGAAGGATTGTCCCATATCTCTTCCAGTAGGCGATTGAACTCATCCGTGGATGGTTGGATGAGCATTAGCCCAGATGTGAACACTCGTTCTTTCGGATAGAACCAGTAGGCCAGTGGCATGGCGACCGGAGCCGGTGGGAGCAGGAACAGCTCGTCCATTGTCTCCATGTGTGTTAGTTGAGATGAGAAACACCATGACTGGGCTACGAACCTGCAACAGGGTAGCGTCAGAGTCTAAGTTGAGAACCCTGTCGTAATCGGTTTGATTAAAAGCGAGGAGCTTCGTGTAGCTCGTTGACCATGGTGCTGCGCTCATTCTTAATTTAGAGTCTTCCTGCGCAATGATTTGACTTACCTCCTGCTCCTCCCTTCTTAATTACCTCGATTGGCTTAAGCTTCACGTCATACTTATCTCTTGCAAAACGAAGTAAACGTGCTTCAAGTGAACTATCATTCTCAGACACGAGAAACTTGGAGGGATACATCAGCACGAGATCGGCTTTTGTACCGAGACGATGAAGGGCCTCAAAGATCATGACTGAATTGCAGAGATAGGACCTGTCTGTGGCATATTGAGTGTATGCAAATCGCGACCAGTCAACGCGCTCGCCAGACAAGCCTGTGTAATAAGGATCGGAGCCTCTTGCGGCATTCGGATGCTTCGGAAGTCGTAATAATGTCACAAATCCCAAAAGAGTGGACGCAACTAAAAAGAAGGCGCGGAGGACTTTCGGTGTTCGTGTGAACATTTTTTCTACAGTAGCTGATCGCAAGACTTAAAGAGCAAGCTACCCATAAAATCTTACGCCAGGATTTGCCTCGTCTTTTAATGGTTAGAGAAGATAAAGGAGTGTGGTAAGGTGCATTTAACGAAATTAAATCCCATCAGGCCTTGAGGCAGCCCCTCAGCTGGCTAGGCATAGACTACGGTAGGTGGCTGAGAATGGGCGGCTAGGCGCTGCCCATGCATGATCTGAAGCACGCTATAACCCACCGCAGCTACTGATTGGAATAGGATGATGGCCCGTGCCCACCACAGCGCTAACATGCATTGGATAGAGCCAACTAGTACTGCGGGAGAGTTCAGGGTCCTTGTTTATTCCCAGCCTTGTCATCATCCCCAAGCACATTGAGCTGAAGGTCAACTTTTACGCTTGCTAAGGTAGAAGCGATAGGCATTTTACCATCAATTCAAGGTGTGAGCAATTAATCATATAGTGCTCTTGCGACTTCGTCCTGACTCGGTACTATGATTGAACTAATCACGAATGAAAGCCATACATCTGGCTTGATGGTCCCTGTAGTACCTTCGACCCGGATGCACATCCATTGTTCACTGGTCAGTGGGTTCTTGTGCAACCCCACTCACTATAAGGACTCGTGCGGCTATGGATAACAGCTGGCATATTAGGGGCGCTTAGATATCCGAATGATGGGCCTGTACTTAATCTAGTTGGTTGACGGTTATCCAACCTGAATCTCCAGTCCAAGTATTCGCTTTGACGATTCAAGTTGGCCAGACGATTCAAGTTGGCCTTTTCTTGTGAGATATGCGCAAATTTAGAACGCCATACCTACTGTCATAATTCATCTCGAGATTTGCGACATCAACCACTAACCTCTAACCCCAATTCACCTGTGTCTGGTGCCTCAGCTCAGTCTGGCGGCGGCGGCGAGATTGCTTACTTGAGTCAATTTACACCAGAGTCTTCGAATGGTATCGGTAGGTTACTTACTCCCTCTTGAATTTCTGTCGAGCCAGACCATTCAACATCACGTCGGTTTTTTGGCACGACCTTAGGGTTCTCTAACAGGCCTTCCTTCTTAGGGATGCGACGACGACAGCAGCAGTGCTTTTTTGCCTTTTGGACCCTCTGCCTCGAATATGTTCTCTGCTCAGGCCCCCGAGTGATGCCCTGGTCAGACAAGAAGTTTGGACCCGATGGCCCCTGGCAAGCAGTTTCTGTGCAAATCGGGAGTAACTACACCGAAATCATTGTTCCTTCATCGGAAGTGGCTTTGTACCCGGGAGGAAGTTGGGAAAGTAAGATCCTACTATCTTCGATTTGCGACAACAAAACTCTCTCGTCCGTGTGCTATGGGAATATAGCTGGCCTCTTTGACAGCGATATATCAGCCAGCTTGGATAATAATTCGATAGAAATGCCTCCATATGGGACTTGGGGTGATGTGGATTGGGGTTTCACAGACGCAGTTCCTGTTTACGCAAAAGCAAGACGAGCAACGGACTATATAACCATCAGCGGCTCCCCTGTACCTGATGTTGATCTGATCATAATATATGCGGGATGGCAGACTTACCCTGGTGGGCAAGCGTACCCACTGGAGGTGGGGATTCTATCACTTGGAAGCCCAGCGATCAATCAGACCTTGGAAACGTGATCAAGATAAACACAACCTTTGTCACCAGCTACTTTTATGAGCAGGAGGGGTCACTGAACATACCATCTTATTCTTACGGTATGCATATTGGCTCCGCATCTCTGGGAATTCCTGGATCGCTACTTTTAGGGGGCTATGATCAGAATAGAGTGATGGGTGAGGTGTCCTCCCAGGCATTTTCAAGTGGAAGCTTCCCAATTGAGCTGCTCGATATAACTATTGGAGTTGCAGAAGGTGGGTCGCCATGGAATTATACAAACAAAACAGGGCTTTTGGCGCAGGGGAATTCTTCCCTGGACTCTGGTCTCAGCGTCATTGTGGATCCAGCAAATCCATATATATATCTGCCTCAGAGCTCATGCGATGCGATAGCCGCTGAGTTGCCTGTCACATACCACCCTGATTACAGCCTCTATTTTTGGAACACATCTGACCCACAGTACGATACAATTGCAACTTCACCAGGTTACTTGGGTTTCAAATTCAGCAAGGATAACCTCAACAACGACTTTATCACGATCAAAGTCCCCTTCGCTCTTCTGAATCTCACACTAGAGGCACCGCTCGTGAAGACACCAACGCAATATTTCCCGTGCATGGCTACCAATAGCACTCCTGTTCTAGGCCGTGCTTTTCTTCAAGCAGCTTTCATAGGAGTCAATTGGCTGGGTGGAAAATGGTTTTTAGCTCAAGCACCAGGACCGGGAGGCTCTTTCATTGTCGATACCGTGTCCATAGGGGACAATGATTCCACTATTTCGGCAACAACAAACAGTTGGGAAGCCACCTGGAAGAGCACCTGGAAGGCGATACCTGCAGGTTCTACTTCAAATACAAATACGACGAACGCAAATACAACAAGTACATCAATGAGCGGCCCAAGTACTAACGAAAGTGGTCTCTCAACGGCTGTCAAAATTGGCATTATTGTCGGCAGCACTATTGGCGGGCTATCGATAATTACTATTCTCTCTGGGCTCTGTATCCATCACCGTCGACAACATAAGAAAGCATTAATTTCAGACGAAAGTCATGCGGCAGAACAAACAGATCACGGATCCTCAGCGCATCAGTTGATGCCTGTGGAGGCACCTGATAGCATATGGAACCAAGCAAACGAGTTACACAGCCAAGAAAGACATGAGATGGGCTCGGAAAGAGGACCTTTCTATGAACTGGGCCCGGAAAAAGGTGCCCTGGTTGAATCAGATCAAAGATCTAGGTTTCAGGAAGGCCCTTTTGAGCTACCAGAGCAAACATCCGTCTCGTGGTCTTCCAATGTTATCTAAAAGCGCCTCATTTCTGTAATGTACATAGCTGGCAGCGAGTTTTCACCATACTACCTTAATATATTTAGTGCAGCTTAATAGTTTACACACCCTACCATTATCACATTTACTTCTTATGAAAAACAACCATACAAGTTCTATAGGCCTCTGGTCACATTCCAGTCCAACCAGATTCCTTTAGTGGTTGCACATGATACATAAGATCTTTCTTTGCTTCACAAGTATATTGTGTCCTGGAGAAAGTCTTACTCATATCTTTAGACGCTTTAACTCCATCGGCCTTCTCGAGGGACGGGTTGTCGTTGATCTTCTAGCAGCTGAAATCGGGACGCTCTGTCCGACGCAGCCAATTCATGACTCCATTCCTCGTCTGGAGGGGCCGGAATTGATGCAATCGTTATTAGGATCTCAGCCATGTTGTGGGTTATCTGATTCTTGATATGAAGTACATAGAGTCGGAAATAGATGCTGGCACCCGTTCATGTTCCAGTTCAATCAACGTCGTGGTATAGCTTACTTTGCTTATTATGACCAGGCAGATACTGCCAAGATGGCTGCAGGTAATTGGAAGGCCCTTCGCACTTGAGCCTGGGATGAGATTTCTGGCATCCGATACGTAGCAGTATCTATCTTCAAGACATTTATCTTGGTAGCCTCCGTATACACGAGTAGTAATCGACGTATCTTTAGTAATGTTACTTAATTGAAGGAGTAACTGGCAGGTGTAAATTTCGACCGGACTAGTACCAATACACATCCATGTAGGAAGTAGCCTTGACAACGCGGCCGTTTTCATAAAGTCGGAGCCAAAGCCCTCTGTGATATTCGCAGTGAATACGATCTGGTTATTTTGGTGCTACATCTGCTCCACTTTCGTCTATGTTGTCTCTGTTTATAACACACTTCCCTGGCATACCATTATGATTACACTTCATCGGCGAAAGGTCCTTCAACGCCTTGGTATTCACCTCTGGGAAATGTTTCAACCTGTGCTCATAATCTGGTAAAATTGCCTTTCACCCTAAAATATTAGCGCAAGAAAAGATGCCTCGGTCTCAGAACAAGAGAAAAGCTTCAGGTCAGGACGTCCCCCATATAGACTCAGAGAATACTCTTGAGACTCATCAAGGAATACTAGAGCCATCTGCACCTGCTCACCGTATGGGCCAAGAGAGTTCTAAGGTGAAGGTTTCAGGATCAATAACTGCTCTCGCTCTGAGCTCAGATGACAAGTTGATTGCTATCGCCCTTGAGAAACGCATCGACATCTATACGCGAGTGGGTAGCACTTTCCAATTGGTCGATAATTCAGAAGAAGGGCCATCGGACATCTTGCAACTTTCCTTTGCACCAAATGTGGCAAGTACTGGATGATATATTCTTGTTTCATCAGCGGACCAGGTTAAGGTTTGGTATCTCAATAGCGAAGGGAAGATATTGGATCCCTCAGGTGGTCAAAAAGTCGACATTTCCGAGCTATCGACTGAAGCAGCTGAAGGGATAACTACAAAGCTTATCTGTACCCATGGGTGGGGACAGAACGAAGAAGCAATCTTGTCGATTCAACAGGCGATCAAGGACACATTGAGCAAAGCTTTGGATACCCATAAAAGCGAGCATCAGACCAAGCTGGAAGGAAATACTGCGCTCTTCAGTCCGGATGGGAAATTTATGATATGCTTCAATCAGGATGATGCTTTCGCGATCGATATAGAGCTCCGTCGTTTCTCAAGAGTTATAGTCTGGGATGTCGAGCTCAAGCAGCCTCGATGCGACTTACTTGGTAGCTCGAGTAGAATTCTGACTGGAATTCTGTGGGTGGGCATTTGTCCAGACTCGAAACTAATAGGAGTTATTGAGAGGGACCAGACAGTCCGGATTTGGTGCGCAGAGAGTGGCATTTGCATGAACATCCTTAATCGTTCTTCCACGAGTGGCGCATGGAATGGTATATTCTCCCCGAATTCCAAACAGATCGCCTTAGTCCTAGACGGCACTGGACCTTCGAAGATAAAAGTTTTTGATACAGCTACCAAAGCAAAGGTATACGAGTGGAAGTGCCCTGCATTTACAATCGAGTCTATGGATTGGAGTCCTAATGGCAAACTCTTGGCTACCGCAGGCCACTTCGGTGAATTCATCCTCTGGGATGTCACAAGCGGGCTGGAAAGAATGAAGTGGCGTCCATATCAACGTGGAGAAGGGAGTGATGCAGGTTCAAACTCTGCTTCTGACATACGGTTTTTCGATGGTGGGAAAAAGCTCATGTTTAACTGGAGTGGTGTGGCAACTATGGTCTATGATTTCATGTCCCTTGCTATGCATGAGTTTCCTCCGGGTGCGGCGGGTGTTAGAGGACCGGTTTGCTCTAGAAACGCTGCGTTCCTGCTCATTGCCCATACTGATTCGACGCTGAGGCAATGGAAGCTTGACTAGGAGTATGGTTGTGTGCTGTCTAGATGACTGTGGTTAACTTACTGCTGAGTGGCTCTACCCTCTGCACTGGCTTCTCTGACCGCAGAGTAGGAAGATAACGGGGGTTGGAGTAGAAAATAGCACAGTGTTTACTCATGTGTATACTTTACACAGACCATAGCCTAGCCTAGTTTGCAGATAACATGCAATAACGGGTACATCATTATCCAGAGCTACCAGAGCCATAAGAGTCGTGAGACACAAAAAAGTAGTCCAATTTCCGCTTCTTATCCATCAAAAGCACACTATGATCCATGCTATCCATAGCGAGCATCCACAGGCTCATCATCAAACCAAACCGGAGGCACCCCATAATTGATGACTGTACTCTTAACCTTTGTATAGCTCTCATACGCCTCCATCCCATTCTCCTTCCCCATTCCACTCTGCTTGAAACCACCCCACGGCGACGACGGATCATTCAAATGATGTCCATTAATCCACACAATCCCTGCCTCAATCTGCTCCGTCACTCGATGCGCCTGGTAGAAATCAGTCGTCCAGACTGAAGCGCCTAGCGCCAACGAAGATGCATTCGCAATACGAATGATATCCTCCTCCGACTGGCACCTGATCAGCGCAATGACCGGCCCAAACACCTCGTTACATTCCAGATCCGTCTGTGGACGCGTCTCAATGATCGTCGGCTCGAAGTAGTACCCTTTTCCAGATGTGGGATTGGTAGTCGCACGTCCACCGCAGAGGACCTTTCCACCCTCCCGCACAGCTCTCTCCACGAACGCAGCGCATCTTTCCACCGCCGTCTTGGATATAACCGTTCCGATCTGTGTCATGTCGTCAAATGGATCGCCCAGTCGTAACTTCTCAACCCGTTTCTTCAGCAACGCCGTGAACTCCTCATAGATATCCGTATGAACAAGCAACCTACTCCCCGTAACACACGTCTGTCCACTTGCAATGAAACTCGCAAACAGCGCTGCCTTAACCGCATCCTCAATCCCAACCCCCGGGAACAAGCACACAGGTGCCTTTCCGCCTAATTCAGCCGTAATGGGGATGAGATTCGCCGACGCAGATGGCGCAATAGCCTTATAAGTTGCCAGTCCCCCGGTTAGGTCAATTTTCGCCAGCAACGGGCTCTCACATAGATACTTCCCCGTCTCGTACCCGTATCCACTGATAATCTGCAACACGCCATTAGGTAACCCAGCCTCCTGAAACAGTGCACCTAATTTCAACACCGAGAGTGGCGCCAGCTCCGATGCTTTCACGATGATCACATTCCCGCCTGCTAGTGCAGCCCCGATCTTCTTCATGGCGATGAGAAGCGGGTGGTTGTATGGTGTGATCAGCGCTACCACGCCGAGCGGGAGTCGCGTCAAGGTGTTCACGACTGGTCCTTTGAAAGGGGTTACTCGGCCTTCATGCACGCGTACTACAGAGGCAAAGTACTCGAGCCATTCAGGGATGCGGGCTAGCTGGGCGCGCATCTCGCGGATTGGTCGGCCGGTTTGGCGGGTTTCGAGCTCGATGAATTCTGGGAGACGGGAGCGGAGGAGTCGGGCTGCGGTGGAGAGGACTGTGAAGCGTATAGATGGGTCAGCGCGAGACCAGGAGCCATCGTGGAATGTTTTCAGGGATTCGGTAATGATTTGGTTGACGGATTCTTTGGGGGTTGAGTCGATGGTTGCGATAGGGAGTTCGGTTGCCGGGTTGATGACGGGGATACGGGGTGTAATCGCGGTGGTGTGGGTGCCATTGACCCAGTTGGAGACGTGAGGGATGGTTTCTGTCATGTTGAAGAGATAAGGATATGAAGTAATGTACTAGGATACAATGGATATGTTGAAGTTTGGATGGATTATATGGATTATATGGGCAGCAAGTATACTATGAAGGCTACCCCGCACGCCTGCCCGATAAGCCGGCCTTATCACCGCATTGCTTCCATATCTTCTTGTTTTTCGTCTTCTTCTTCCTCATTCCTGCCACTATCACGATAGTGTTGATCCAGAGATACCAGTGGGGCAGCAACTTCTTATCGGGGTTATCTCTATGATAGTCTTGTGAATAGATTCACATTTTTGCATCCCTCCTCATTCGAGCAAATGCTTCCGTGAATGTTCAGCTGTGAATCCCCACCACATCAACTAAAATAATAGACCTCTTGAGTATGAAGAATATTCTAGTGGCAATTTTAATGACATTCCTTGATAGTTGATTGTTAGCTGACTTTTGTCCCCACTAGACGCCTTCCATGTTGCCGAGTGACTCACACATCCACCCGAGTCTCCACCCGATCATCATCTACTCTGGATCAACAGCATATAGACCCATCATTGCATCCTATCTGGCATCATACAATATCTACCATGTCTTCTAAGGTCAGGTCTACATTTACGCCTCGCGATACTATCACGTATCTCTGGCAGGGCCTCCGTCTTCCCCCAGGTACCCTCGACTCTCTCTGCATCAGCGGATCTCCCAATCCCGGCCTGCCCTCCTCCTTCAAAGTTGGCCATATCGCCCAAGCCTCAATTGCACTCTCTGCTCTCTTGGCGTCTCAGATCTATAGTCTCAGGAATAACATCACCCCTCCCAAAGTCACCGTCCCCTATGATCACGCGTGTATCGAATTCAAGTCCGAGCGCCTCTACACCTTAAACGGTCAGCCTCCCCCTTCATCTTGGGGAACCATTGGCGGCCTTCATCGAGCATCTGACGGTTACGTCCGCGTTCATGATTCGTTCCCCAACCACCGTGAAGGAACAAAATCCCTTCTTGGATGCTCTCCAACCGCAACCAGAGACGATGTTGCTTCCAAGATTTCGGCATGGCGCTCCGTGGACCTCGAAACCACTGCCGTTGATACCAACCTTGCCATTACTGCTCTCCGCAGTTACGAACAATGGGACGTTTTGCCGCAAGCCAAAGCCATCGCGGACTTTCCCATCCTGCTTCGCAAAATCGGCGACGCCCCGGCTGGTCTTCCCGCCCGGATCGGTTCACACGCCGATAAATGTCTGCGGGGGCTCCGTGTTCTTGAACTCTCGCGGGTCATTGCGGCCCCATTGTGTGGGAAGACGCTGGCCGCACACGGGGCCGATGTGCTCTGGGTGACGAGTCCTCATCTGCCCGACCTGCCAGGACTCGATCGGGAGTTCGGCTGCGGAAAGAGAACCGTCCAATTCGATCTGCAAGACGAACAAGATACAGAGGAGCTTCTCACTTTGCTCGACGATGCAGATGTCTTCATCCAGGGGTATAGACCGGGCAGTCTAGCTGCCCGTGGACTATCTCCAGAATCAATCATCAACAGACGGCCCAATCGCGGTATCATCTACGCAAACATGTCTGCATACGGCCCCGACGGCCCCTGGTCAGCGCGTCGAGGCTTTGACTCCCTCGTTCAAACTTGCTCCGGCATGAACGTTTCGGAGGCCCATCACTTCGGTGCTGGAGAAGCCGCACGTGCACTTCCCTGTCAGGCGCTCGACCATGCAGGTGGCTTCTTCCTCGCGTCCGGCATCATGGCCGCGTTGTACAAGCAAGCAACCGAAGGGGGATCCTGGCAGGTGGATGTCTCGCTAGCGGGGGTGATGAAATACCTGCGTTCGTTAGGCCAATACGAAGGGAAAACAGGGTTTCAAGGATCGCCCGATTATGCTCGCCCCCAAGATGTTCCGACCGAGTATCTCGAAACCCGACGCACGGGGTTCGGGGAGATGACCGTCGTTCGTCACGCTGCGAACATCGAAGGGGTTGAGGTCGGCTGCGAAGTTATGCCCAAACCACTTGGCTCTGACGAGACACGATGGCTGTAGCCCTTGCAATGATGGAATTCTAGGATATTCTTTACCCCGCATCACCGAGAATGCAGAAAGCGACGACACAAAGAAAAAGCACTGGTTCCGTGGCGTCTGCATCCAAACAAAGTAAACATGCTACCCAATAGTACTCCACCACGACCGCCCGGTTCTCAAGGCTGAAGTCCAGGCCATCTGCATGGCTGACAGCAATGGGTCAGGTTTGCTTTTGCAACCTGCAGCAGTGGCCACTGCCCTGTGATCCGGTCACGTCCGAGGCCGAATAGACGCTCCGTAGGAAAAAGAAATGGATGGATACACAACCATTAGCAAAGGATAAATACCACAATGGCTCCCAGAGCCCTTTCATAGGGGCTCTGTGCAACTGAACGCCGATTTACCTACCTAAGTATTCAGCAGCCCACCTGCTGCTTTTGTAGTTATCTGCCAGGAAAAGAGAAAGGGACACCATGAGAGTCATTATCATAGGAGGGGATGTTTCGGCTTTCGTGTGCGCAATTACTTGTCGGCGAGACAATCTAGACGTGATCGTGCTCGAGTCTGGTCAGGATACTGAGGTACCACGAAACTCCCATCTTGAACTGCGTCCGACCACCAATCATCAAAGATAGACCTGCTTACCCGGGTATTCTTACTTTAGACTCCCCCGGGCATCCAGATTCCGCCTAACGGGACTTATCTTCTCCGCCGATTAGGTTTGCTCGATGCAGTGCTCGAGAAAGGTGATATCGTCCAGACGATCGATTTCCGGCGATATTCCGATGGAGGAGTGATTCGATCAATGCCATGCGGGGAGGAGACGTGTCGCATATATGGAGGGCCATGGATGTAAGCTATTCCTGCTGCTCGAACGCTCATGAACTGGAATTGTGCTGACTGTATGAAGAACGATTCATCGAGAAGATTTGCGCCAGATCCTACGCGACAGGGCACGGAAACTGGGTACTGAGATCCGACCTGCCACAGTGCGAGAAGTATACAGCGAGACTGCAGAGGTAATCTTAGAAGATGGGGAGAGTCTACAAGGCGACGTGGTGATCAAAGCAGATGGTAATTATACTATTAATTGCAATACACACTCCACCTCTAACTCACGATACCAGGCAACATAGCCAGCAAATCCCTATCTCAAGAAACATCCTCACCAAGCACAGCAACAGAAACAGAAATTATCTACCAAACGACCATCTCACGAAAACATCTCGAAGCCCTCAACAACCCTAGAATCGACGAACTCTGGCAAGGAAGACACAGCACCACAGCCTGGCTAGGACCAAACCAGCACGCCATATTCTACCCCGTTCGACACGGCCAAACATACATCCTGAACATATACCATACCAACACTGACAGCAAATCCACAACCATCCCAACCGCCCAGGAAATCTGCACAGGCTGGGACAACCGGTTCGTCAACTCTCCTCCTCAGTTCTCTCCAAAACATAGCATAACTAACAACCTACAGCCTCCAAACCATCCTCTCCCTCACCCACACCCTAGCACCCACTCCTCTTCACCACAACCAAGCACCAACCCAACCCCCTCCACAATCCCTCCTCACCCACCTCCCCACCCAAAACATCCCAATTCCACCCTACCAAGCCCAAGAAACAGCCACACTCATCGAAGACGCCCTCACCCTCGGCACCCTCCTCAGCCTCTACAACCAACACCAACACCAACACTCATACCAATCCCACCTCCCCTCCCTCCTAGCCCTGCACGCAACCCTGCGCTCTGCTATAACTACCCAGAAAATCCAATCCGCCCTCTCCTCCCTACGCGCATTCCAGCTCGAGAATGGCATCGCCCAGCAGGCGCGAGACTGGGTTCTCAGCGGGGCGGGAATAACGCGGGATACTGATGGGTGGTGGAAAGTGATGTCGTCGCGACAGGAGGGGGTGCTGGGTGGTGGGATGGGGTTGGTGGATGAGACGGGGAGGGCCTTTTGGGAGTGGAAGAGGGCGAGGGGGGTTGGTTTGGGAGAGGGGAAGGGGTCTTCTGGGAGGTCGAGTTGTGGGATTGGGGGGCTGAGGAGGAAGTGGTATGCTTGGTGTTGACATTGGGTTTTGGGAGATTATTAGTTGTTTTGGTGGGTGTTGGGTTTGTTCATCAGGGTGTGTTGCGTTGTCTTTAGGTTTTACTATGGAGTATAAATTGAATGAATTTATGTAGTATGAGGGGTTCAACTGAGTAAGGAGTTTGGGTAAATTACGCTGTAAACAATTTAATGCTGAGAAAAAGAATACTGAGGACGTCCTTGCGATCTGGTTATATACAGTACAACGATAGCTCGGAGCATAATCGCCCAAACACACGCATGGCTGCTACTCTTGGTATATCCAACAAACAAGCAATGTCACAGAAAACACAAACCGAATAGAACTGCAGCAAAGCCAGGAGACCTGGACATCCCAGTCTGCTTCCACCCGCTAAAACCATGGCAAAAACATGGTGGCAGCCACTTAGTCCTCCTGGTAAGAAATCTTCCGCATCTCTCCCAGGCGTTGACGAGCCCGAGAGAGGCTGTTCTCCAGTTGGAGGATCTCGACCTGAAGGAAAGCCATTAGCATAAACCCGTTAACGAGAAGATTAAATATCGACGTACCTGCTGCTCCATCTCCCGCACCTTAAACTCGTGGGAGCTGAGCTTCGTGTAATCCACCGCTTCGGAATCATCATGGTTCTTCTCTTTGATGATATCCTGCACCTGGCGCACCAGAGCTCGGCAGGCCGCACCAACAGCCTTGCTAGCTGTCTCAAGGCGATCCTGCGACTTGCTCATGAAAGTGGCCTTGACACGACTGGCTGCCACCAGCTGCGCCGTACTGGCCGCCACATCGTTACTAGCGACGATCAATTGCTCAGGGGAGTTGCGACCCGAAATGACACCATCGGCGGTCTCAATCAAGGTGTTGGTCGAGCTGGCGACCGCCTTGGCGGCCGAAATCAGCCCCCTCAGTCCCAGCGGTTGTTCTTCTTGTAGAAAGCCGTCCGTGAAGAGCTACCGCGGCCCTCCCGGACAATCTCTTGCTGTGACGCAGTGGCCGCCTTGATGAGTTCGGCGATGGCGTTGGTCACTGCAATAGCAGCCGCCAGGATGACATCGTTGATGCGGAGCTCATAGGTGCTGAAGCCATCACGAGGCTTGTTCTTGAGCTTAGCCAGTCGCTGGGCTGCAGCATCAATAGCATCCGCCGCCCTGGTGAGTTCTTGGTCTACCAAGTCGCCCAGATCGCCATTGGTGGCAATCTTGGCACTCTTCGGCGCAAACGCATCAACCAGCTTCGAGAGGGTCTGCAAGTCCCTCTGCACTTCGAGGTTGTTGTTGATCACGACATCTGTCTTTTGCAGCGCCTCTAGTCCCTCGAGACGGAAAGACTGCAAGCCTCGGAAGAACCGCACGGTCGCCTGGGCGGATTTGCGGGCTGCGTTGACCAGCTGATCCGCACTCTTGTCGTCGTTGGCGAACCGCGTTAATCCCTTGGTGTTGCTCAGCACGTCGGCCACGGAGCCAGAGAAGATGGATACAGTCCGGATAATTTCCGCATGCGTGCTGTTGGGCCCGTCCGCAATGAAGTTGTTGAAGGCCGTAGAAAACTCGGTAGCCGAGGCCGAAGCCTTCTCGATCTGCGAAAGCACATACGGCGGAGAGGCGTTCTGGTTTCCAGCCTGCATGGAGGAGTCCAGCTCATACAGAGCATCATCCACACGCTGGACACCCGTCTGGAGAACCGAATCGATGATATCGTTAATCTTAGAGACGGTGCCGTGCAGAACGGTGTCAATCTGCGAGTCCAGCGCGTTGTCGACATCACCTTGACTCTGTTTGCGCCACCTGTTAGCTCCACATACCATCATGTGTTTTGTGCTAACCACATACCAATTTCAGCTCCTCCAGTTCCATCAAAGCCTGCTCCATTCCCGACTTGTACACTTCGATCTCCTCGTCCTTTTCGCGTAGGGCAAGATCGTGGTCGCCTGCGCGCTCCGAGGTCTTGTTGGAGACTTCCTCCAGGGCGCGAGACTTGTTCTGTGTCCAGAGTCAGAAACTACAATCAGGAAACCCGAGCAGGGCAAACTTACCCGGAGAGCCTCTTCCAAGTCCGCCATTTCTCTGTTGTATTTCGACAACAGTGTCGAGATTTCCGTGCCCTTGGAGCGTTCCGCATTCTCAGCTCGCTCGAGGGCGAAGCGCAGTTCCCGCTTGACCTTCTCCAGCTCTTCTTTGTTGTTGCCGGTCAGACGGTCTCTGTCGTGCAGTGCGCGGTCTCGCTCGCGAATCATGTCGGCCAGCTCAAGGTTCTTGGTCTTGAGCTCACGCTCAAGCTTCTCACGGCGCTCAATAGCCTCCTGTGCCGATGCTGCCTTCAGCTTAAGACTCTTCGTCGTCTGCAACAGGTCGAGGTGCTCCTGGCGGAGTTGAGAGTAAAGCTTGGCCAAGGCTTCATACTTGGACCGCCACGTGTTAACCTGCTCCTGCAACGCCCGGATCTGCTCATCCTTCGAAGCATTCTGCAGGTTGAGGTTGGAGTTCAAGTGGTTCATTTGTTCCTCCAGGTCCTTGACTCGACGGTCATACTGTTGCAGCATCAGCTGGTCACGCTCGTACTGGGCGCGGGCATTCAGATTCTCCTGTTCAAGCTCGGCCAAACGGCCTTGGGTCTGTGTCTGGTACTGATCGCGCAAAAGCTGTTCCTGAGCGAGGCGCTGCTGCTCGGCCTGGAGGCGCTGTTGTTCCTCGAAGTCGCGCTGAGCCTGCTGCTGCGCGAGAAGTTGTTGCCGCTGCTGATCCTCCCATTGCTGCTGCAAGCGGCGTTGCTCGGCTTCATATTCTTCTTGCTGACGCTTGGCTTCGGTGGTCCAGAAATCGCTGATGGGCTCCGGCTCTGCTGCAGTCATCTTGGGCGGCGGAGACGGCTGGGGCTCGGGTTCCTTGACGGGTCGCTTCGGCAGAGCTGGACGTTCGTCGTCTTCCGACAGCAAGTTGGGCGGGTCCTGTGGCAGCTTGGGGACGGTGATCAGACTAGTGAGATACCGCAGGTTCGAACATTCGTAGTAGAAACGGACGAGGCGGTAGTGCTGTGCGTCATATCGGCCGCGGAGAGGTTCAAGTGCTTCCGTATCGCCAGTTGCTAAGCCAGTCCACATTAGTTTCTATTAGATCATCGGAAGGAAGAACAAACGTACTTGTGTGCATAGCCCTCAACATGCTGGTGATGAACTTGTAGATGCCGTAGCTCTCCTGCACCAGAGGGACCAGCGCAGAGATGCGACATTCATTGTTGGTGCCGGATTGGAAATGAGAGAAGATCAACTTCTGGAAAGCATCGATCTGATCTTGCAGTGTCATGAGATCGGTGATTGCCTCATACCTAGACAATTGTCAGCTGGGCACATGGGCATCGGTTGCACATTCGACGTACCCTTCATTGGGGTCATTGGTTGTCTTCAAACTGATATACTCTTCATATTCGAACAGGCCTAAATCGATCAGTACCCATGCGAGGGGGGCGTCGTATTGGTGTTCTAACCGTTGAATTCCGGATGGTTGCGGTGAAATGCCAGCTTCGACTCGAGATAGAAGACGTACTCGCGAATGAGGGGGCCGTATCCTATTCATTCCAGCTCCATGTCAGCTATATTCCATCTTCCTCCTGACAGGAATTTGTACACACCTCGGATACCATCTCCCCCTACACCGCGCATCAGACTATCGACCCAATTGACATGCTGCTGTGCTTCACGGACCACGATGGGGTGACCTTCTTGTAGCACCTTATGTATCGTGATGAGCGCCTTGAACGTCTGGACTTCGTCGGCAAGGACAGGTTGACTAAATGGGGGAACGATAAAGTCAGCTGATGCTTGAAACTGACATACAGATACAAAGCGGGCAGACATACACTTTCATGCCAGCCCAGAAGGCGCTGGATGATTTATGATCCCATGTGTACACGATGCAGCTCCGAACATGTTTCCCTGGGCGTGGATTAGTGTTGGTTCTGTTGGTGTGACCGGAGAAGAGCTCCGTCGATATGACACAAAGTCTTGGGAGGGGAGGGGAGAATTCGTACGTTTCGGGGCGGTTTCCTCTGTGATTGTAATATGATCAGTCCACTAGTAAGCATCAGGGGAGCACTGCAGCTGTGACTTACCGATGCTCGTGGCTTTGCGAATGTTAATCGCCAAATCAGTCTCCGTGCTGGTTTCGAATGGATCATGTCAGCAATTCCATCATAGAGCACAACAAGCGCACGGACAGCCTCGAAAATTATCACGTACCGACTCATGGTGATGGTTGCGAAGCTCTGGATGGGCTTAGATCAGGGGAACAGAAGACGGAGAGATGCGGCGGGAGCCGGTGGGCCCGTAATGCGGACAGCGCAATCAGCCAGTTAGTTGCACGGGGAATGCGCTATCCTCAAGAAAGGAGAGGGGGGGGAAGAGGGAGAGATGGGAATAAGTGGACAGGGCAGGGATTGAGAAGAGCAATGGCCACCCACGCGATCGTCCAGCAGGTCCGTCACAACAGAAAAAAGAGAGAGGAAGAACTTAGTAGAGAGGGAGTGAGTGAGGGGAATAAAAAGGCAGGTGGACTGAAATAGCAACAGGCAAGAGACAAGCAAAGGCGAGATGACGTCCGGAAGGGAAACTGCCACCGCGGCCGGTTCTTGGCACCGCCGCCCGTTCCTCACAGGGACTCGTCACCTCCTGGATCTACTCCAAATACTCAAAAAGGGTTCGCTATCCACCGGAACTCTCCTAGGCAGCGATTTTGTCGCCCAATCAGTCAACCCTGCCCAATTTGGCCACCAACAGGCTACACTAAGAAGATAGACGGCTACTGCCTACAAACAGATAGACATTCATGAGTAATTGTTCTGCTCTGAATTACTAAGGGAACCTTCTACTGCCTACAAACAGATAGACATTCATGAGTAATTGTTCTGCTCTGAATTACTAAGGGAACCTTCCATCTATGAAGCAATCAAAACCAAATAAAATATACGACGAGAATGGGGAGTTTGACACCAGATCGCAATCGACGCCAGACACTGTCAAGCACGCTCAAGAACCAGCTGAGAGGGTATACCATGGGTGAGAAGCCAAGGAAAGGAACCATCATCCGGCAACCACGGCACCGGCTCGGTTCAACGCTTCCCTGTCCATATGAAAACGCCCGTTCCTGTAGAGACCGCTCTGCACTGCAGAGCTTCCCGTTATGCATTGCCAAGGGTAAATGCGACATCACTCCGTTATTAATGATCCCCGTATCCTTCTGCTTGTACGCCACTAATGTGTTCTTCCTCACGGAATAATCCCGTCCGTGGCGGAGAGGATTTCCATGCCATGTTTCTCCGTGTCAAGTCTGGGCTTTGAATCTGGAGCAGTAGGTCCTGGCTCAACCGGCTCGTGCTCACCTTCACCATCCTCACTACTGCGAGCGGCAGCCGACTCTCCTAGTTTCGTTGACGAGGTGTAGCCTTTGGTGCTCGACTCGGTTGTCAATGCTCCCTCAGGAGTTAGGTCCACCACAGGGCTGTTTGGCCCCGAATCGTATGGAGCCTCGACCACAAGTAACTCATCTGACCTAGCCCCTTCCGCCTGGGGTTGGTAGATTGGTTTCCGTCTAGGTAGAGGTGGCTTGGGAACAGGCCTCTTGTTCTCCCTGTCCGACTTCTGCTCGGGAACATTCGTCATCGCCACCGGTTTCCGCTTGGGAACCGCTACGGTATTCCTCTTATAGCCCACCTTGTCAGGACGCGGCAGTGGAGTCCCCGGGGGTGGAAGTGGGTGACCGCGCCCTATCGGCTGCTCCGGGGTGCCTGCAGGACGAGACATATCGTGAGCGGAGCTAGACTCGCCTCTGCCAAACATGTTCCATCCCCACTTCTTAGCCACGGAGGTGGCTGTATTCAACGGGCCAGGCGATTTACTCTCTGAGGGGGTGGCAGAGGTAATCGACCGAGTCAGTGTTTCGAGTGTGCTGCGTCGTCGCGACTTGTTGCTCGCCAGAGACGCAGTAGAACCACTCTCGATACCCCGGAGGTTGTTCGACGAATCACTTCCACGGTGAATAGAGGGCGGCCGGGTAGGCAACTCACTCGCAGACTCATCAAAGCTCCCGGATGATTCGACGATGGACGGATCTCGACTCTGGGTTGCACTATCCGGAACCATATGACTAGCAACCGGCGGAGAGCTTGCAGGGGTCTTCTCCGGCGAACCAGGAGCTGACCGGGTAGATATTTCGATCATAGCACTGGTGGCATTGCTCTTCTCTTCACTCGTAGTTTCGGACAGAACCCGATCCATCTTCCCGTGGTCAGCTGTCAGAACGGGATCGGCGGCATTAGAGAAGGTCTGAGACCGAATTACTCGCGGGGGCGAAGTGCCGAACTTGTCAACCGCAGAAGATAGAGCGCTAGGGCTGATGTTCTCTAAATCCCCTATAGAGGCCTTGGAATTCTTGCGGGCCTTTAAGGTGCCATTTCCTGATTCGGCAAGCACAGGGGCGCTCATGGTGCGATCATCCCTCATCTTCAGTACTTCAATCGACTCCTCTTTGGTGCTGCCTGGGGGCTGAATCTGAGCGCCGGATTCATCGGGGATATCTGCTTTCATATCAGGTTTGGGTATCTCTCGCTCCCAGATACCACCACGGAATCGCTGTGATTCAGTGTCCATGAAGGGGATGTCGTCCCAAAACGGCTGAACCAGGCTCTCAGCAACAGTTTCCCGGATGCGACTCTCAATGGTACGCAGGATTATGCCGTACGTGATCTGCTTGGAGCTAACGATTGGTTCGATGTCCATATCCATGTCGGGCATGGATTCAAAGGATATCCAGATTCTGTTACTCGGAGGAGGCTTGAAGCGGATCAGCAAATGACCCTCCAGCTTCTTCAGCACAACCGCCAGGACAATGTCGACTTCCCTGGCCTTGAAGCGCTGACCCAAGTCAATGCGCACAGTTGCCGAAATCTCCAGGCGGAAGTTGCCCGTATACTGAACATCCGTCTCTACGCAACAGTTGCCGTCGACCGTCAGGTCCTTGAGCCTAGGATTGATGATAAAGGGTGCACCCTCCCCCATGTCAATCTTTTGGAGACCAATCTTGCTGATGAAGTTGGGCTTGTTGACGCGAGAGATCTTCTTGGTGACCTTCTTCCGAATGAACTCTTCCATTTCCGGTGTCTTGTACATGGCCAGGAACAACCTGCCCAGCACCGCGTTGATCCATCGCGTTTGCAGTTGCTCCTCGGACGAATGCAAGCGCTGAACCAAGGTGACAATGTGTTTGACATCGAACGCCTGATGCTTGGGAGGAGCATCTGGAGAGTTCCACATACGGGCCTGATTCTGGAGCATGGCGAAATAAAAGTCCTCCTTTTCGGATAGGTTCTCGGAAAAGAGGAAGAAAGGTGGCGTAGGTCCTCCAAGGTCACCCAGCGACTCCAGTCGTCGCGAGAGGCAGATGGCGTTTCTCTTTAGCCACAGTTCCCCTTCAGGGATCGGACCCTCCCCACCATGTATGCTGACATCGTGGTGGGCAAGAGAAATAACATAGCGGACTTCCACCTGGTTCGCATTATCGTAGAGCATCAAATGGCCATGTCTAGTTTGCGTCGAATGTTAGCATTAGTCTTGGTCTCTACCGCAGTACAGAATAAAAAGGACTCAAGCGGAGGCGAGGAAGGGTCGAAAATACCGAAGAACAATATAAAAGACATTACGCGCCCGCTTCCCATTCTTGGGGGCATTTTTAGCCGGCTCGATCGTCGGCGCCTGTTTCCGATCGAACAAACTCCTATACATCGCCTGATAAACGCTCGGGCTCTCCGCGGCGATCACCTCCCCAGCCGGGGTCGTCCTCTCGGGCGGCCGCCCATTAACACCGCCGGGGACATATTCCCGACAAACGGCGAAATAACCAGCGGCAACATCGGAGTCATGGGTACGATGAAACTTCTCGGCCAACTCATCGGTTCCAGATTTAAGACTGTAATGATCATCAGTCGGACGGCGCAGGGATGTGGAGGAGGATTGGGGATGGCATGATTTCTGATCGGAGGTGAGCGGCGGGGAGGGAGCGGCAGTCGGGAGGGTCAGATAGACGAAGAGATAGACCAGCGACAGGACTAGCGGGAGGAAGGTAAGTCCGCCGAGGACGTATATGAAGAGAAAGCTGGCGTAGGAACCCATTGGGGTGGGGAGCCGGACGTTCAAATAGCCAGCGTTAACAGCACCTCCATCATCATGAGGTAAAACGAAAGACCAAGTGGCAGGCGAGCGGGCGGCAGGCAGCGAAAGTGTCGAATCTGGAGCAGGGAAGATAGATGAGGACAAGCTCGAATGTATAAAGGGAGAGGGGTGGGGGACAAGGGGAAGTTAAAGGACAAGTGTAGTATACCTGGAGTGTACGGGTGAAGGAGATAAATTAGGGAGGGAGGGCAAGGGGGGGAGAAGGAGGGAGATGAAGAAAGGAACCAACTTTAAGATGATGTTGTAAGTTGGAGGTGGATTGTTGCAGAGTGACAGTAGCACCTTTCCTAGTTGGGGCAGTAGACAAGTCCTTGGAACTCCGCGGTTTCCGGGCGTTCTTCACCAGTCACTAAGAGGTCACTAGCTGGTAGGCAGCACACCTGTTAGTGACCAGCGGAGTACTTGGGAACTACTTACTTCCATCGATCATGACGGAATGCCGTGGGTCCGGGAAGAACGTTGCCCCGCGTTCCTCACCACCTGATGGTCCCGTGATCCGCCCGAGGCCTGCAGATCGTTTAGCTTATCGGCACTCGTTACTACTTAGTATCGTGAAAGAAGTTGCCAGTTCATCGCGGAGATTAAATATTGACGATTGACTTGATTGATGCAAGATGGGAGGAAAAGCAAGTACAGGTTGAATCACATGCAGATATCGTGACTTTTTGACTTTTGATTGTTTGTTTTCCCAGCATAGTCGTAACCATTAGGTATTAGGGGACGCAACTCTGGTTTCCACGGAACCTTAATCCTGGCTTCGTCTGCACACGAGCTTGTCGCGTCATCAGGGACATCTAGATCAACTTATATTATGGCTAAACCCGAATGTTCTTTGCCAGATGGGAATCAGCCAGGGGGCGACAGTCAAGAAAGGCAGAAGACTCTTACAAATTATCATTATTTACCGTCAGGTAGCACATGCCAATGTAACAGCGGGTTGGGAAATGTTACCTAGGCCAATCCTTGCCAACACTAGTACTTCCCCTCAAGCATCGATGTATGAATAGCTAGTATTATCCGTATGAGTGAGTGTATTCAGCATATCTATGAATTACCCCGAAAAAATAAATACGAGATCCAGCAATTTGCTAATCAGTTGATCTGGCGCTGTCCAATAACTCAGCCTTAGGGCTGTCATACTTCCGGCGTACAAGCACTTTGATTGGTCCACTCGTTTCGGGCGGGCCCTGCCTCAGGCTGCGCCATCCTTCATCCCAATTAGTATAGAAAACAGATTTGTATAGTAGTAGTAGTAGTAGTAGCTGGTCAGCATCACCCACGTATATAAAACCCCAATTTCTCTCTCCTGTTTCCTCTCATCTACTCCATCCCTCGAGAATCCTCTGCCCTGAACTTCAATCACTCTATATCCCTCTCTCTTCTTCCAAATTTCTACATCATCACCTTTCCCCATATACAGCCCATCCGCCACCAAACCGTCACCAAGACACAATGACAACAACCACAAAACCCAACCTCATCACCCTCCCCACCAAGCCCACCGCTCAACTAAGCTACACCTTCCACCCCTCGTCCACCCAATCATCCAACAACAAGATCCTCCTCGTCTTCCTCAACGGCCTCGCAGCCCCGCAAACCTCCTGGGGCCCCGTCATCCACCACCTGCAATCCACCCACCCCCATAACCTCCCCGCCATCCTCACCTATGATCGCTACGGCCAAGGCCAAACTCCCTCCCGGGACCCGGCCGACCAGGACGCCCCTGACCCAAGCCACGGGCACGACATCCTCTCCGCCCTGGACGACCTCCACCAACTGATCCAGCAGATAGCCAAACTCCACCTGCACACATCAACATCCGCCCCAGATCTAAATGTAATCCTAGTAGGCAACTCCCTCGGCTGCGCTCTCGCCAGACTCTACGCCCAAACATACCCGGGCACTGTGTCCGCCCTTCTCTTGCTCGACAGTATCCTGGCCAACTCGGATTTCGTGTCCGTATTTCCGGATCCTACTGCGCCGGACTTTATTCCGCCGCAGGAGGAAGATGGCATCTCTGCTCAAGATCTGATTGTGGCGCGGGCTATCGCAGGGAAAGTCTTTCATCCCTCTGTGGGGAGTAAGGAGGGTCTATCGAGGAGGAATCTGGCGGAGTTGTTGCCTGAGAGTGATGGGCCGAGATTGGTGGGGCCTGATGATGAAAGGGGGCCTTGGGTCACGGTCATTGGACATGATGGGAAGGCTTTTGCGGAGGAAAGTGTGAGAATGACCGGCGGGAAGGTGTCTGGGAGGGTGTTCGAAGTATATGTCACGCCGTTTTGGGAGAAGTACCACCGGGGATTGTTGGGGATTACGGATGAGGGGAGGGGGAGGGGCCCACTTGTTGCTGAGGGTGCTGGGCATGTGGTGCAATTGGAGAATCCGGCATTCGTGGGAGAGGAGCTGGGGAGGTTGTTGGATAGGGTTATGGGGTGATACCTTGGTTCTTGTTCAGATGGCAGCATGAGTGACGTTGAATAGATGTTTCTGTTTCTGTGGGATTGTAGTGTAACCAGGTGCTAGTACACTCAATATCAATATATCTCACGTTATCAAATGCGAACTACCAAGAACATGAATTGAGATCAATAGCACTCACTAACCTGCAGCCCACTCCACCCTCTTTTAGAAGCTAATCATCCCGCGCATATGGACTCCGTCGCCGCAGCGCCACTCCGTATCGTTTCAACAAAATCGGCGCCGGGATGCCCACCACAACCGCGATCAAGGCCAGGAGTGTATTCCCCCATCCGAGGCCGAGATTCCCATACCTAGCTTGATTAGCATGCAACTGGCTTTCAAGGTGTCTCGACAACACTCACAACCGCGGCGCGGCTAGTGGCAACGCAAAAGAAAGCAGACTCCGGATGCACATCACCGCGGCTACTGCACTGGCGGCATACTTGGGGTATGTATCCATGATGTACCCTACTATGCATTGGATCTCATGTAGCACACCGGCGCCGTAAATGGCTGCGCCGATATTCCTGTGGCTGTCAGTGCATCGATTGTTATACTGGATCTGGAAGGGTTTCCCATACGGCATGATCCAGTGGACATTTGGTCGCGCACTCCATCCGTACCAGAGGAGGCCGATTGGGATAATCACCGCACCGATCATCAGGGCTGGCAGGCGAAACTCCGGCAGGCCGCGTCCACCATGCTGACTGCACAGCTTCCTGTAGGACCGATTGGCAAGACGCATTCCAACCTGCGAAGCAAAGGTCATACCCAGGAATAAGGAGATATAGTTGAGGGAGCCGATAGACACGGATTCTCCGTATATGCCTGTCCACACATTGGGGAAGCTCGAAATGAGCAGGTATAGAATCCCGTAGATGTATGCACAATACACACTCCAGACTTGCACCACCGGTTGCGTGGCAAGCAACTTTATTGGTCGGATGAGGCTAAGCCGGAGCAGATGGGGCAGGGAGACGCTGTCGTGGTGCGTGTACAGATTTAGGTTCCCAGTGCTTTTCTGTAGACGCTTGCACCTTCTCTGCAGCAGAACTGGAGCATAAGTCTCGCGAAAGAAGGGCAGGCCAAAAATTTGCACCGCGCCAGCCACGAGGGATACAAGATAAAAGCACCATGGCCACGTCGTATATTGCACGAGAAAGCCGCCAGCGATAGGGCTGACGGTCATGCCGATCGAAGGGGCGAGGAGATAGAGGGATAGAGCACTACCGCGCTTGTCAGACTCAAATAGGTCTGTGGTGAGGCCAGCGCCCATCTTTGGTGGTCAATACTTGGCCCGTTACTGGAGGCATGGTGGACTGAAGTGACACATAAATACTTACCGTGTTAGCTCCTGCGCCGCCCAGACCAGCTAAAAATCGGAAGCCAATCAACTGGTTTGGGGTTTTTGCAATTCCACATAGAGTGTTGAAGATAATGAAAAACATATCAGTAACCTGAAGGACTATCATCCTTCCAAATACCTCTGACAAAGGCGCCGTAAACAAGGGTACGATTGCCACTCCTAGCAAGTAAACAGACAGGGATATAACGCCCATCGTACTGGACGAGAAGTGGAGATCCTGCTGAATGTTATTTAGGGCTGGGGCCATTATGGCCGAGCTCATGGAAGTCAAAAGGGTGAACAGCGACATGGGAATGATTGTAGCCCATTTCTTGCCCGACGGCCAATTCCTGGGATAGCCCGGGTCCTCGGGACCGTTCCATGTCACCTTAGATGTTAAGTACAAAGCTTCATCTTGGTGCTGTCAGTTACCTTACCAGATTAGGGTCTTGCTCAGATGGTGGTTGCTCTATCAAAAATCTGGGTGATGGACTTTGAGGATCCGGAGTTTCGTTGGGATGAGTGTTTATTGCAGCTTCTTTTTCAGCCATTGAAGAACGTGTCCTGATATCAGACGACTAGACTCACACAGTCCCGAGGGAGAGAACAATAGAAATGACCCCGCTATGTCGTAAGAACACGCAAACGCGAGGTAGCAGCAATGTGAATTGCTTTCGGCGAATCGACCCAGGCTTATTATCCAAGAGCACAACTCGGGCTGTGTTACTGAGAAAAACAGATGGTTAAAGCTGCCAAAGCAAGCTCAATCCATAACATACTGTGCTTTAATCCTTTGTGCAAGCTCGGCAACTGTGTTCAAAATGGCAGTTATTCCATAAATCAGCTCACTAGATCGGGGCCGCCAACGCCTGCATTGGTTGACGCTAAACAATTAGGGTTCGGGCAGCGCGCCAACACGGCGGGAAAGCTTCCCTGGCCTGCTATCATTATGCTGGTGCGGTGCGAACAAACTCTGGTGCTTTAGGCAATTTAGATCCCACCATATTGTCAGTTGACAAGACTGTCTGCAGTATTCCATCAATGACGTGGTTTTCACGACGCCGATCTTGTATGAGCAGAGTAGACAATGGTTCATGTAGCTGTAATGCAGCGCAGGTTGCAAGAGCTAATTAACTTGCGCGTAGTTGCCATATTCCTCGTAGTACAAACTGGGAAATCCGAAAGGAGACGTTCAAGCTCACGGCATCTCCAAATGCATATGAGCCGTGTGGTTTCTGCTCTGTCTAAGGGACTTATAGGCTGGACGCGTCAGCAATTTTCTTTCCTAGTAATTGGGCTTGTGCACGTAGTTCATTCCGGCTCACCGCAATGCCGATTGTTCCCTCGCCATCGAATTAGCCTCCTAAATCTTGAAATACCTCCTGCGATATTTCCGACGCATTTCGCTCCTTGTACAACAGCATATATCCTGCTTCTTATACTTAGGTATCCAGAGGTAGTTGAAATGCGGGTGTTTGTAGCTCCCTGAGAAACATGTTTGTAAGTCAAGCATGCTATCGCCCGACTAGAGAGAGCGTCGGACAGTAACGACCTGCATCAGCGTCACAATATCAATCCCGCAGCTGCTGTGCTTGAAAACTTCTAGTCAAAGATCATCATAGCGTCCGGATGGTCCCAGTAATGCCCCAATTGCTCGACGTAAAAAGGTAAGAGTATGAACCGTTGGAGCAGCATAACTTGCCACGAGTAGCTTGGATATGGAACATTTGGTTGTTCAACCTTGTCAGCTATGCATGACACTTAGAGCGTGTATAACAGGTCAGTCCTAGCGGCAGAAAGGGTGGCATTGAGGCCAGTATACGTGGCTAATCTTCTCCCATCACGAAGGATGTCAATACAATCGAAAGCAAAAAGGACAGGCAGATCCCCAGATTCAGAGAGACCAGTCACTTGGTCCGTCGGCATATATCATGGGGTGGGTGAGTGGGAAAACTCCCCGGTAGGTTCTGGCGACGTCGAAAGGAAGCCCGAATGCATCCATCCACGTGAGCCTGGTTAGTTGTTCGCTGATCTACATAAGCTGTGTCCATCATAGCTCATGCTTGAAATTTTGAATATCACAATCAAACGAAAGAGATGTCGTTACCAATGCAACTGAAAATGAAATTGGGTTATGAATAGTCCTCGGGTCTAGGCTCTCTATCAATAATACAGAAGGTCTACACCAGCAGACTCGCGATAATACAAAGAAGGTAGTGGTACAGGGGCATTGTGTAGCGCCCAATTTCAACAAGGAGAGACTCGAAATGAACGCCAATCCCAAAGCAACGCTGATGGATCATCGCTCAAACGTCTCACTTTCTCCGCTTCATGGTCTTCTCGCACATCTGGGCCAAACCAGCCTTGGCGTCGCTGTCAGGGAAGTCAGAAATCGCAGCGACAGCCTTATCCGCATACTCCTGGGCCAGGATACGGGTCTGTTCAACACCGTCGGCCTTGATAACAAGCTCCCGAGCCTGGTGATCAATCAATGTTAGTGTCAAGACTTTTTTGTTGCAACTAGGATCGCATTACCTTTTGAACATCGCCGGGTTGGCTGAACTTCCGGCCAACCAACGGGCCAAGCTCTGGGAACTGTTTCCAGGCAAAGAGCAGCGGGGCCGTAGCAAGACCCAGCTCCAGGTCCGCGCCAGCTGGCTTGCCCAACTCAGCCTCGGTCAGGGTATAGTCCAGCATATCGTCCACAAGCTGGAACGCCAGTCCCAAGTTGCGTCCGTACTGGTAGGAGGCTTCGACGACCTCGGGGGCGCTGTGACCCAGCACGGCAGTTGACCGGCAGGACTTGCTGATCAAACTGCCCGTCTTCAGGTATGTCTTCTGCAGGTAGTACGAGAGGGTGTCGTCCGTGAAAACGGGGTTCTTCTCGTCCGCAGCCGTGTTCTTCAACTGCATGAACTCGCCCTCAACAAGGTTGGTGATGACAGTAGACATCAGCTCAATGACCTCCGGGTCCCTCAGCCGCGCCAGAGCGACGGAGGCCCGACCCAGCATGAAGTCTCCCGCCAAAACAGCCATCTTGTTTCCAAATTGGAGGTTGGCAGACGTTAAAGAACGGCGGGACACAGCATTATCGATGACGTCGTCGTGCAGGAGGGACGCAGTGTGGATCAATTCGGTGATTTCAGCAAGCCGCCGCTGGGTGGGCAGGATGTCCTTGTCGCCGGCAAAGTCGTACGGCGCATCGGCACTACCGGATGAGAGCGCATCCAGGTCCGGATTGTTATCGACGAGGATTGAGGGCGAGCTGATCGGGTCGTTCACTGTTGCGGAATTGTTGTCCGTGCCAGTCTTCCGGGGACACAGCGCCGTCGCCTGAGACATCAGCAGCACCAGAAGCGGCCGCATGTGTTTACCCTCACTGCGGGTGTAGTATTTGGCCACCTTATCCAGTGTAGGATGGCCGGATCCCAGTAGCTGCCGAAGGTTCTTCGTCAAGAATTTGAGTTCCTTTCCTACCATCCGCAATGGGTCGACGGAAATGCCCGGAGGTGCCTTGGGGAGGCCTTTGAAGATGGTCTGAGCTGCAGAGACGGCGGCACCCAGCGGCGACACATCCTTACGTTTTGTCGGGTGATACTTTCGTGATTGAAGCTGGAATTGATTTGCAACCAATTCGTTTCGGAGGCATTGCCAGCAAACTATCGTGGAAGACGTGACGCGTGACGAGAGCACCAGCCCGGATGCCGGCACCGTCCGTGCTTTCATGATTGGGGAATGTGGGAGGCAAGTAGAGCTAGAAGTGAGTCAAACAAAATGCTAGGATCATAATACCGGGAAAGCAAATGATTGAAAGCCGGGCCAGGTCCGGGGCCGCACCAGTGCCTGGATGGATGGATGAGGCGCAATTAACACCCGCCGAAGATTTCGAGACGGAGGTTGCCTCGGGCCGGCTCGGGGCTCTGGGCCCGTCCCTGCCGCATCCAGTTCGCTCTATGCATCTTCACTCAGTCTTCCACCACACCGCATTCTACAGTACTCACTCAGTATTACATACTCACTATCACAGATAATTTGGTTCAATACAGTTCGCATGCTCATGGCTGCAAGGGTTTTCTGATCTATTATGACGGGAAATTACAACAGAAACCCAAGGTCACGCTTCTCCCCCGCCTCGCAAGAGACAACTCGGCAGGCCGGACAGCACTCTACAGCAGAAACCACCTGTGCAACAGTACAAAGGAGCCGGTCCAATGACACATAAGAGACATGGGAGATCACGCCGGCGAAGCTCAATCCTACCCATTGCTTCATACACACCCGAACGACGACACTGCAGATAAGAACACATTGTTGAAAAGCTTCCCTCCGTTCTTGAACACCCAACGGGACGGGATATAACAGGATTACAAACGAAAAGCTGCTGTATGCTTATAACTTCACACCCACTAGATTGCATCGAAATCGCCGCCGGCATCCTCGTCGTCCATGTCTCCTTCCTGGATTTCCTTGGCCAACTCCCGCTCACGCTCCCGTGCCTCCTGCGCGCTCTTCAATTCCAGGCGGTGTTGGTTCATGGGGAACCGCATGGCCTATTGGCAGACTCGTTAGCTGGGTACTCTCTGTGGAGCAGGAACGTAGATTCTCGTAGAAACTCACCTTGACGCTCTCGTCGTGGAGACTCAAGCAAGCTCTGATGCGCTCATGGAACACCTCCCCGGGTTCCCTGGTGGCATAGATATCTCCAACTTCCTTGCTCTTCATGAACCCATGCTCGTGGTCCAAGCTGGCCTCGATCACACCGTCGCGGATGGCCTTTGCCACAATGTACTCGGCAGACTCCTCGCTGTCCAGTCCAAGACGCAGACAAATATCCCGGAGCGAAATGCGAGAGTAGGAGAGAGACATCATGCGAATGCCGGTCTTGATCACGTTTTGCCGCAGACGCAGGATCAGAGTGTACGTACCGTCCTTGCGGAATGTCGCACTGTGGGTGTTGACGATGTTGAGGAACCCGTCCAAGTCACCCACACTCACAGCTTGAACAAGGAGGAAGTAGGGGTGCATGGCGCGCTCAAGTGCGGGCTGTCGGAAAATGGCCCGGTCGGGAATGTCACCCATGAGGAGCTCCACCACAACGAGCAATTTATGAGAAGCCTGGTAGAAACCGCGCGCACTGTGACTAGAAGGCGACTTGCGAGTGGCACCGATCAAGTGACCATGGGCATCGGTGTACTGCAACTGAATGGCCCGGATGCGACCCAAGTAGTAAAGGTACCGGGCAATCTGGTTGTTGGATGCCGATGGGGGGAATTTGTTGTGCGAAATGAGAAGGTCTGCCTGCGAAATGTGAGACGTAGATAGGTAGTTGCGCAGGAGTAGCGTCATCACGGTAGCCTGGGTGTCCACATCCTTGCGAAGCACTGCTGTTCTCAGGGCTGCGAGCAAGGGCTGGCGGATCTTAGTCACGGTGGCAGCAGGAGACGGGGGAAGGGGAGCAATCTGCTCATAGAAGAGAGAGTAGTAGAAGTAGACACGAGCTGCCAGAGAGTCGAGGGTACGGCGGTTAAGCGTCCGCAGACGCTCAATCAGGTTCGTCGAGAACTTGGCACCCAGCTGAATCTCCTTCTTGTCATACAAAAAGATCTGAACAAGAATAGACATGTAGATATCAACCTCGGGCAGGGTCTCCTTGGGAGCAGTCTTGGTCTTCTCCGACTCAATCTCCATCTTCGCGCTGGACTGAGCACCGCCCAGGGCACCTGCTTGATCAAGAGCATTCAATAAGAATGAAGCGGTGACACTTGACGATGAGTAAGTCTCCTCAATAACTTCAGCTAGCACATCACCCGTGATGTGTTTGCGCATGGACGATATCGAGCGCAGGACGCGGAGGGTGAATCTGGGGTCGAAGTGGGTAACGGCTCGTTCGAGGAGGGTAAAGTTGGTCTTGATGTCTACATGAAACGCATGGCAGCATTAGTACGGGAGCGCTGCGCGGATGAACGCCAGGACAGATAAAACCAACCTTGGATGGCCTTGGTCTTGGGATCAACCTCGGGCTCGGCATCCTCGCCCTCATCACCCTCCATGGCGACGTCGCCTTCTTTGTCCGTTCCTTTCTCGCCGGATAACCTGGAACCCTTGGTAGGGGGCACTACAACAGTCATCTTCTCGTCACCCTTGCGGTCTTGACTGGCGTTGAATGAGGATGTAGGCCCACCTGCCGTATCCTCTCCCATCTCAACATCTTCCGAGCCATTCACGCCATTCTCCGTCGGGTCGGACCCGTTGGCACGCGGCTGATCACGCTGCTCACCCATTCCGGAGTTGGCAGTATTATTCGACGAGGCGCCTTTCGTGGTAGAGGCAGCTGTGGCCTTGTTGGCAGCAGCGCGGGTAGGCGCCGGCTTATCTTTATTGGAACTAGAGCTCTGCGAAGTGGAGCGTCCCTTCTCACCGTTAGCAGATGAAGAGGTATCTGACTTGCTGTTCGATCTCAAAGAGCGCCTTTCAGCCGGCATCTTTCGTTGGAGTTTCTTGTCTGATTCTTTTTTTCCAGCTTTGGAGCTCAGGTGAGCACTGGGGACCGCGGTACCGGAGACACAGGAAGGGGGTAGGATGAAAGACCACTATCCAGAGTCCGGGGATGCAGGAATGAAAATGACAAGAGTCACAGCGAGCGAAGCCAAAAGGACCGAGATGCGGGGCGGGGGGGATGATGAAGGATGGGGGATTGGGTTGGAGTTTGGGAGCAGATGGTTGATGAGGTGGTGATGTGATGTCAAGGCTGGCTCTGGATGGACAGCGAGAGAACCAGCACAGGAGCTTAGTCAGTGTCGGGCCAGTTGGGGGATCGAGCTTACCAACGGAGCAACCGGCCAGCTGTAAGACCGGCGTGACGCGCTCTCGGGTTCTGTCACGTCTGGCTAGGAAGCAAGAAAGATCGGGTTGGTGGTTCGGAGAAGAGGCAATGGTCGCGTGGGAAGGGTTTCAATCCGATTGCTGGTAGAGAAGAAGGTCCGAATTGCTGGAGAGTTTCGGTTGCAGGCAGTTCGGGGTTGCGTTGCCACCAAATCCTCATTCCCGGGCAGTTCAGACCGCCTGAGGCAGAAACAGCTGGGAGCTCTGCTTGGCGTGTTTACCCGTGTTGCTTGGACCAGTTACTAGTTTAGTCTATTGATTGTTGTTTCTCCTCCCCCCGCAGCGATAACCAACTAAACTCACTGAAGCACAAGTTCCCTTTTTGCACACCCCTCGACACAGAACAGAAAAAATGTCGCTCCTTGAAAGTCATCTAGAGCAGATCTCACTGTCTTCTAATGCCATTGCGGAGCTACCGTATGCATCCCCCTCTCACCTTGCTTCGTACCCGGCATTGATTGTTTCTGCCCCAGGTTTCCCCAACCGCGGATCTTCACCAATGCGCTGCTAGGCCCCCACGATATCACTTCCTTGATTCGAGATACGGAGGCTCATGAACGGGCTCTCTTTCAATCCGATCCCTCCGTCAAATCCGTCGGCTCACAGCGACGTCCCACCCGACGCGGCACGCAGTTTGCGCAGGATCCAGAGGGCGAGTCCATGGCAAGTCGGATTTATTCCGCTAGAGATAACAAGAGTCAATCAGCTGTCGCAAGGGTTCTGGGTGCTGATATGATGGAGGAGATCAAGCGATCCGCTGGCACGTCGAGTAGGGGTCGTGGTGAAGTCAATGTCGACGTTCTACTCCAGGGCGCAGAGATTCTCTGCAATGTCTAGTACGCTCTTCACTCGTCCTCAAGAGCCAAGTCCTGCTTACAATTACTGACTACATGCACAGTCCTGTCGCTGGTGCACATGAGAAAATAGCCAGTCTACGTTATCGTCACGAGTTGATTTCAGGTTCGATTAATGAACTGGAGGCACGTGCGGCTAGAAACACCGCAGAGTTGGAAAAGATGAGCCACTCCTACGGAGATGACTTTGATGAATATGATGGCATCGATTCCACACCGCCCGAGGTGGCTGATGTTACGGATGCAGACCTTGAGCGAGAGATGGCGGAGATCCGCGAGCTGGAGAGAAAGAAACGCACATTGGAGGCCCGTGTTCACGGCATGGAACGAGACCTGGGTGGGTTGTTGGGTTGAGAGCTCGGGAAGCTCTATTCTATTTACCAGTTTAGCGAGACCGTGGTGTCAAGTGCTTACAACGTATACTCAGAAGGCAGGCCGTCTCCATACAGATACGGTGGACACCGCTATTACTATGGCTGATTCAGACGGCCGTCATTGATACGACAGGAAGTCTCCCTGGAAACAATGTCTAGCCCGACAAAACATCCCAGCTTCGGTGGATGCTGTGCGGCTTCTCCCCGCCTTAGCTTCTTTGCCATTATCGCTAGATATGCTGCAGCTTCTGACCCGGGCAAGTCCGGCCACGAAGACTCATCACGACTGCATGCTTGCGCTTATATCGTCTTTGGCTTTCACCAAGGATGTACCGCGATATCACCTGCGAAAAATCAGCTAATTCTGGCTAGCCTTTGGGCGCATCATCTCATTGCGACTCATACAGGCATAACGCGGCTATCCTGAGCAATGGATTTGGTACGTTCCACATCAAAGATCTCTATCAGTTTGTGTATAGGCATGGCCAACCCGCACCAATTGAGTGTCCTGGGGTTTTCCAGGGAAAGACCATATCACACAAGGATTTCATGATTTGATGATGTATCGGGTCTTGTATTACTTTGTTAAATCAGAAATTATCCTTATTTGAGTGCGCTGTTGTAACCATCACCTAGCCCTGGCTTCATCTCTGTAGAATCAGTAGTCTCCTCTAGAGCCCACCGCACCTTTCTTATTACTCAATTATCCTTGTCTAAGTTACGCAACAGCGTATATAAAAGCGTTTTCTCATCGCACCGTCATCGCTTCACTCCATCCGGGAGAGGGGACCGAACCATTAGATGAGTGTTACTCCAGAAATCTCCCATTCAATACGTCAATTTACGGAAGTGTTCAATAGAGCCGAAGTTGTCTGTAAGACGAACATCGGTCAGATTCAGAGATCCTATTGTTGAGCAAGCCTTATAAAGGGGATTGGGTGTTACTCGCTCTCCTCACTTCTTTTGCTGGTTATTCAGAACCGGCAGTGAGCACTCGTGCCAAGCCTCAGGCTCGCCGACCCCCATTAGGATCTCCAAATCTCTCACTTCTTTCCCCCGGTCAACCCTCCCCTCCGCTCCTCCAATCCTCTCAGACGAGGTATAGCTGCGATCTTTGAAAGCCTTCTGCCCCTGGGTCTACTCTTATCTAGACTCGTTTCGTTCGGATAAAAGTTTACCTTCTTTAACGCCTGTCGGGGCGCTCGGGACACGTGCCTGAGAATCCCGTTCTCCGCTATCCCAACAGTGTTATCCAACCTCTCCCCCCCATCGCAGACTTCACTTTCCCCCCACAACGCAGCCCAATCACCATCATCATCGGGATGGACAACTCACAGGCACAGCCCCAGGCTGCTCAACCCCAGGCCCCTGCAGCCCAGCCGATGATGCCGCAGCACTCCAACCTGATCCGAACCGACCAAGTCCAGAAGCTTCCCCATCTCAACGACCAGCAGAAAGCCCAGCACACCCAGCTCGTGCGGACCTTATGGGAACATCTCAATAGTCGGGAACCGCAGACTACCGAGTATCAACAGGCTCATGCGAGACTCACCCAGATTTCCCAAAATCTCATGAAAGGCATGCGCGCTTTTCAGCAAAGCCGCCAAATGCAACACCAGCAATTGCAAGCGGCAAACGCAGCGCAACCAGGTCAACCAGTCCAGCGATCGCAGTCGGTTAATCCGCAGAACTTCGCGCAGCTTCTCCCTCAGATTCAGCAGAAAGTCAACACTCTGCAGTTCTTCCTCCCTCCGAACATCAGCAACGAGCAGGCCCAGACCTGGCTCCCCGAAGCCAAACTACGATATGGGATCGCGCTTCAGAAGCAGGAGATCGGACGGGCGCGAATCGCGGATCTCAGACAACAGTTTGCGACGCGTCAGTCTGCGGGAAATATGACTCAGGAGGAGGTGCAGGAGTTCAAGAACCGGCAACTTGCGGCGGAGAAGCTTTACCGCGAGGGAAGCGACTTCCTGAACAAATTCAAGGAACAGCAGGATACCTTCAAGGCCCAGCAACAGCGAGCTGGTGTGCAACAACATGTTCCTGCTCAAGCGCATCCACAGCAAGCTCCTAGTCAAGCTGCGCCCGGTACAGCTGCTGGCCCCGCCGACGGCCGTCCACCAAGCGTCCCCGGCACCATGCATCCAGGCCAGACCCCTACCCCGGCGCCTCACACAATCACATCGGCAGTTTCCGCTGCACGCAACCAGGCGGGACAGACTGCGATGTCGCCTTCGACTTCTCAGCCCGGTCAAACGCCAACCGCCCAGGGCGCCACGCCTGCCGTCCCTGCTGTGCCCCAACAGCAACCGCCACAGCAAGCACCCCAGCAACAGCCACAGGCCCCGGTCCAGGCACAGTCACAGCAGGGCCCACCAGGCTCACAGGTCACCTTCACTCAAGTCCCCAATGTCGACGGTTCAACTCCCACTCCTCCTGGGGCTCAGACCATGGTCCAACCTCGTCCTTTGTCTCAGCAGGCCGCCATGGCTCAAGCTGCGCAGAACTACTCTAACAACAACGTTAACAACAATAACATGAATCAGCAGCAGAACGTCACTCAGCCTGGCGCCAACACCCACGCTCACCCCCAGGGCTACATTCCCAACCGCTCTGCCGACACTAACGCGCGTAGCATCAACATGGCCATCCCCAAGAACCTGAATGTGCCTCCTCCAGAGCCCGTCAACATGGCTCCTGCTCGGCCCACGTTATCTGGCGGACCCAGTCACGGTGCAGTCGGTGTGATGAATCAGCCTGCAATCCAGAAACACCCCGGCTACGTGCTCGAGGGTGAAGGTCAGCGCGTTCTGAGCAAGAAGATGCTGGATATTCTCGTTCGTCAGGTCACTGGTGGTGGAGAGGGCGAAGGACTCACCCCCGATGCTGAAGAGGTAAGTCCCGTGATTTCCCAGGATCCTTCTCAGAATCAATAAAAGTCTAATTCCCCTACGTGCAGTTCATCCTTCAGATGGCAGATGACTTTGTTGACGATGTGATCACGGATGCCTGCCGTCTCGCCAAACTCCGCCCGTCCTCGACTCTCGAGATTCGCGATATTCAGCTTGTCTTGGAGCGCAAGTACAATATGCGCATTTCCGGATTTTCCACTGACGACCTGCGTACTGTCAAGAAGCCTCAGCCCACTCAAGGCTGGACCCAGAAGATGTCCGCCATTCAGGCTGCCAAGGTAACCCAAGGCAAGGCCGAATGAATAACGGCGACTTCTTTATTTTCTCATCCATTACGACTTTCACGCGCGCGCTCTACTTTCGGTCTGCAATATGAGCCTCGATTCACCTCTCTTACAGACGAGAAAAACACAGAAGATGGGCGTGCACGAATGCACTTGTTCTACCTATCCATTTCCCTCCACAACTCCAAATTCACAACATCAAAACAAAATAAAACAAAAGTGTCTCTAACAGCAACTGCAAGATATGATCAAATCACTGGTTCGAGGTGGCGTTCACGGGAGGCGGCAGGTGGTCTTTTTTGACTCTAGTTTACTCTTGCGATTTACTTTTTTCCGTTCCTCCAACCACGCTCAGTCACATCCTCAACATGGTATTCACAGTGACTCGTTAATGGATCGGAAAGGACCTTTTCAAGCATTTTGCTATGGCGTCATCTGTGTTTTCATTCACCCTCTGATATCTTCCTTTTGCCCTTTGCAATTCACGCCGCGCTTTTTGTTGTTCCCTTTTCTTTCGAAGCCAAGCTATAGTCATTCTTCTATGGCGTAGTGGTTTTTCTCTTTAATGCACCCTTTTGTCTCTTTTTTCTCTTCTCCCACTTATGATGAACCTTCTTATCTGTTTCTATCTTTTTTCCCCTTGCCTATTAAGGCTTCTTCCTGCTTACTGCTTACACTGGACTACGGTTGTTTTCCTGCTCGGTTACGCTGGTTGTTCAATTTGTTCATGGAAATACCCACTTAGGCAAAGTAGTGTCGGTGCGAAATGAATTATGACTTGGATTTGTGGGCTGAAAATATTCTCTTTCTCTTCCTTGAAGTTATGAGTATATTGGTGTGGTAAGTGATTGGTATACACAGATGGTATATCTACGCCTCAATTACACAACGTTACGATAAGGCATCAATAGCAGTAAAGCTGTAGTGGTAATCAGGATCTGATATTCATTGAACAAAAAAGGCGATGATGGTATCAATTCTCTACTTGCTGTGCGTCTTCTATCAATCTTCTAAAGGAAAGACGAGCTCAATGAGATAAGAGGAATGAAAAAAGAAAAAAGCAGAACATCAGTGGAAAACACCAACAGAATTAAGTCGCTCGAACCTGCTCACGCGCACAAGTCGCTTCTCCCGTCCATGTATACAATCAAACAGAGGCCCAATGATGCCAAACAACCAGACAATGTATGCTAAGCCAAAAGATGTGGAAAGGGCAAGGAAAGAAATATAGTCAGTCAAAGAGTGAAGCTGGTTAAGAATTCCAGAGGTAGGGAAGAATTCAGCAGTATGAAGTTTGCACAAAGGGAACAAAAAATATGAGGAAACAGTAGAAATATTTAATACAGGAAAGTTGGGGGGTCATTTCGAAGCAAGTGGGTTGGTACCAGTTGATTCTCCATGGCCAATGATCAAAATGCACAAGCTAGAAAGCTTTCAGTCAACAGAACGGGCTGTCGAGACATGACACTAGGAAAGAGGAGAGAGAATGAAGACGGACAATAGAATAGAGTGAGAGACAGGTAGTTGATACAAAAGATGTTAAAGACATGATCGAATATTGCTTGCCATGCTGTGTTGGTAGAAATGAAAGTACAGCCCCCACAGTGATACCAATTGATCGAGGAAATGATCAGTATCAAGCAGGAGCCATTGGGATGTCAGGGTTGATTCTGACAGACGGGCAGTGCCCGATGATGCAAAAGGGATCACATCAATCGTGGTAACATGAGACTATCACAGAGATGCTTGCGGGACAAAGGTGGAAGATGAGAGGAAGATGCGTTGTGGGCAGCAGTAGAGGATCCGTGGCGCCAGGGTATGAACAAAGCATTATGAGCTGCGAACGAGGATATCATGAAAAACGACGGGAAATCAGCACCGTAACAAGTTATTGTCTGCCTGAGACAGATACCATGCCAGATTGCTCATTTCGAGACGCTGCCTTGCCTTTTCCAGCGAAGGGCATCCCATTTTGTTGAGGAACCGGAGGGAGTTCCTTTTCCACCGCAGAAGATGGCCCGTGGCGACTATGCTGGCTTTGCCCTCCAACGCTGCTGGCCTCCCCAGCCTCGTCAACGATCGGCAAAAATGAAGGCGCAACGACGCCGCTAGGGTCTGACGGGTCTCGAACAGTCGACAGCGTCCGAGGCTGGGCGTGCGAGACATCCTTGGCAGCCTCCTTCTCAGCTGCTTGCATAGTCCGTTCAACAGACTCGGAACGCTCCACTGAGGGCCTACCCTCTGCTCGGGCTTCCCGATGTCGTTCGGCCTCCTCCTTGGACATTGTGATGCCCTTGATGAAGTTGATGAATCGATCACCGTAGCCCTCCGGTGGTATAGGCGAGATTTGCGTCCGGTCATGTGAAAGACCTTTGAAGAAGTGTTCGATCTTCTTCACCATTCCATACTGCACAGCCAGTTAGTCAAGAGACCCAATTGTTGCAACGCAATTAACTTACGTGAGTCAAGCAGTCAATGATTCCGAGATAGTAGATCTCCTCGCCAGGCTGACCGTTTTCATGCGTGGCGCGGAATCCACCATCATCCGCATAGAAGACATGGAATTTCCTTTCATCAAGGATCTCCTCGGGCATCTTAGCGGCCGCTTTATCAAGCGGCACGGGACGCTCACGCTTGATCAGCATGCGCAGTTCGCGGGCCTTGCGCTCATTCTCCAATTTGGAAGGTGTGCGCATCAGCATATTGGGACTGGCTTCTTCCTCGCGATCACCCCCGGGTTGGAAAACCTGTAGTGTCTTGTCCCGCAGCTTCTCCTCATTCCCTCGTCCCACATCGTGGATACCCACTAAGAGAGAGTAGTCCATGATCTTTAACTTCTTCAGCAATTCAACATCCCGTTTTAGCTGAGCTAGAAAGAAGTCCCGCTTTGACGGACCACACTGTATCTCGCGATTCCTCCGGACCCAGTTCAAATCCTTCAATGTCGCTCTTGGGTTCTTCTCCAAATCTTCCTCGCGCAAATCACGTCCGATCATGGAACCCTTCAAGTCGAATGTCTGGTGGATATCGCGGTGAGGAGGGAACAGGTTGTTCATGACAACAAAGTGGATCTTGCGACCATAGGCCATCTTGACGCGATGGAGACCGTAGAATTGCGAGATCAAAGTATTCGGGTTTTGCTCGACATGTCTGTAGTATTCCGGAAGGATCTTCCGCAATAGCTTATGTTCGGAATGGTGAATTGTTTTGATAATGTACTTGTAGTCTCTAGAAAAGTAGAAGAAACTTCCACTCTTTCCCGGCGAGCCAAGTTCGGAAAGGATGTATTTACTGGTTAAGGACATCAGGTAGTCCGCAGGATCAAGTCGGAACTTTGCCCGAAGGTGACGGAAAACCCAGGGCGCATAGTCCTTGAATTTGAAATCGTATTTGGCGGAAGGGGTCAGTTCGTTTCCGGTTCTGCGCAACATCAATGATCAGTAATGGAACGGCAAATATAGTGAGCAATAACCTAGGCGCATACATGTCAAAAGAAAACTTGTGCTTGGCCTCAAAGTCCGCCGGAGTCAGCTCCCGATCCATCTTCGCATTGATTCTCGACACCGTGAACCGAATTCCGGTGAGCATGTTGTAGGCAGTAACATAATTCACATGATTCTGGTCGACCCTTGTGCCAACGATAACGTGGTCATCGTCGTCATCATCCCGACGTCTTCTCTTGGAAGCCCGCCTCTGTTTAATGGCTTCTGCCCACCGAGCCGCATCTTCGTCTGGAGGGGCATCGTCGGACAGCATATCGGACTGGTTGGTGCGGGTAGCGCGCCGCGCCAAGCTGAAAGAAGTACGACGAATACCGGCCGTGGGAGACAAGCGACCGCTGCTGTAGGCAGCATCCTCGGTTTGGTCCCGACTACTTCGGCGCCCGCTGCTGTTTCGTGGGACTTGCAAAGTATGTCGATGTCGAAGGCCGGTGTTGTTCGGATCTTGCGCATTACCATCCAGGCCAGATGGTACAGGAGGAGAGGAGTACCGGTGAGGACTCTTCTGAGAGGGCGAGGAGGGCGACAATCGATCGGGATCCGGCGAGAGACGACCAGCGTCATCAGGCTGAGAGGTGGACAATCGCGTGCCCGAAGCATTAGCCACTACATCGGGAGCAACCAATTCATCAGCGGACGGTCGAGGGTAGTCTCCATTAACCGTCGGCTTGCCGTTGAGCGACCGGGGGGTCAACGTTCCATTGATCTGCTGGCTAGTGACCGATGCCGTCGGAGAGGCTGCACGAGCGCTTCTTTCAACTGACTTCCTAGAGACATCGCGATCCAATGTTGTCGAGGGCCTCCCGCCTTCTCTGGGATCCCGAGCCGAACCATTTCCCAAGGAGTGCATGCTGCCGTCTTTCGAGTGCGGCAATTCCCTCGTATATGAGCTGGCGCTCGAGCGCGGACCATTCAGGGAGTAAGCACTGCCGTTGGTGAGTTGGCGGTCATTTGGAGGGGCATCCAGATGGTTCGTGTCGCCATTGGGCCAATTTGTCCATAGGAAAGTATTCCCCACGGATGTTTTCTCCGACGTTTTGCCCTGCGGCGAGTCGAATGGACGCGGGTGAGTGGCAGTTGCAGTGGACGATTGATATGCGACGTCGTTAGAAAAGGAGGGCATGGTCGCTTGGGTTGGCTTCGGGGGAAGAAGTCAAGCGGAGATAGAAGAGGTAGGGAGAGCGGGGAGGGAGGGAGGAAGTAGCGATGAGGAACGGGTACGGTATTAGCCTCAGGATATGGGGAGGAGGAGGTAGTAGGTCCCGGGTCGTTGGAAAGTCGAAAGACGCTATCGGCGACGCAACGGGTAGAAGGGAGGGGGAGAGCGCGAGAGGAAGGGGGGAAGGAGATTAATCGATCAATGGCAGCGGTTGCAATGCAAGAACAGTCAAAGTTCCCGGATTAAGCTGGGGAAGCCAGCGGGCGGCAGAAAGTTTAACGACTGATAGGCATATTCAGGCGAACACTAGATGAGGCAGATGGTACGACACAATGGACGTGTCCGCGCTTGAGGTTTGCGTGGAGGCTGGTAGAATCGGTCCGATGAAGGTGACGGGGGGGGGGGGTGTGGAAAAGGTGTACAATCGAAATTAAAACAGGTGGGAGAAACGAAGAGTGTACGGTCGGGGTATCAGTTGCAGAAACTAGCGACAAGCAGGAAAAGGAAAGGATGAGGTTGGCAGCGATAGGGAAAGACGAAAGACGACGAGTTCTGGTAGAATGGAGAAAAGAGGAGGGAGAGATGATGGGGGGGAACGGCAGGATAAGAGAATGAAGTTGGAGCGAAGACGCAAGAGAGCGAGAGAGCGAAAGAGAGCGAAACGGGAGAGCGAGAGCGAGAGAGAGAGAGAGAGAGAGACAGCCCGAGAGAGACTCAAGAAGATGCCAAGGTCCGAAACGGTACCCGTATTTCGCAAGCTAAAAAAAAAAAAAAAACGAACGAACGAACGAACGAACGTGGAGAGTTTACGGCTTGTACTGTGCCTTGGCCAGAACTGGTGGAAACTGGTAATGGTAATACCACGCGAAAGGGGAAGAGACGGAGACACAGACAGGAACAACTACGTAGAGAGCGAGCGAGAGAGAGAGAGAGAGAGATCGAATGAACAGTGCAAAGAAAAGAAAGGAAGAGAAAAAGTCTAGGGAAGATTTGTCAATCCTTTTCCTTTTGACATCAAAACAACAAAACCCCCCTTCCTGTCTCACTTTTCCAGCCTAATAATTATATGATCTGAGAGATTATACGTGTGGTTGTTATTATTATTTTTTTTACGATGATTATTAACTCCTTCCCAGAAGTTGTTGAAAAACAAAGTTAGCCCCAGAGTGCAAAAGAAGGGGAAGTGAGTCTGGATCCGATAATAAGGAAAGTAGCACCAGCTCCACTCTTCAGCTTGCCTCGGGTTGTTGGTTGGGTACTGATCCGTGAACCGATGAATGGCAAGTAGTGAGAGTAGTATATCTGGAATCACACCCTCCACCAGAAAGAAAGAAAAAAGTTAGATTCTAAATCTGAGCAGTCAGAGATCATTGAACAATCTTCAACCCCATCCCCATGCAAATATGCAAAAAAAACAAGGTATCTTATCTCTCCGGTGTTGTCCGCCCCCCTCTCCTCCCCGTGACTGACCGAACCACTCATACACACATACATACACACATACGGTATGAGGGTAGTATGTAAGTATGGTGGTATCAGGAGGCTTGGCATGATGACCCCGTCGCAGGCAGACATCTAAAAGGTCGTTAATCATTTAACCATCCTGACGCCCTGAGCCGATCAACCTACTGAACCCTTAACTAAGCCCTGGAAGGATTCTCTCTCTCTAGCTGTTCTCGTCAATTGAACAACAAAGACACTTTCCCGTCTACAGGGCACCATCCTAAGATGTGATTGTCAAAAAAGGCTACGCTCTAAAAAGGGGAACGAGGCACAGTAAGGTACAACCGAAACCTCCTTGCCACTCACACACACTGGCTGCATGCAAGACAAGAGATAACCATCCAACACAACGACCACCGGAGAGATTAATCGAGCACGTACAGCCAGGATGCATAAGGAACATCTGTCGGGTCGTGTCTCCACCCGTCCATGACATGTTAGATTGGAAAATCGTGTTCGAGCTACTAATACTACTACTACTTTCAGAGGATGACTAGCCGGCCCCTGATTGAATCTTTGGGGGAGGAGCTGTCGCAATGATCTCCTGCGTATGGAGTAGATTAGTGGGAACAATCATATCCAACAACACCTGGCCTCTCTGCGCCCCCGTTGATTGTTATTGCCTGCGATTTAAAAGTAGGGATGGGCAGATGAAGCACACTTACTAACTCCCTCCACACACTCTCTCACTCACTGTAAAGGCAGCCCAGCCCACACCCCCTGGTTTGATGATTACGTGCCCGCCCAATGCAGGAATGACCCTCGTCAATAAAAAAATGACAAATGATAGCTACAGACCTTCCATCTCTCAGGTCATGTACGGAATAGATACATCTGGCTTGCATTATGGCTGCCAACGTCAGAATTCCTCCGGGAAACGATGGTGGCTGGGGGGCTGGGCGAGGGTTATACTATCAACCAACTACAACTAACTAATCAACGACCCGGCGTCTCGACTCAATGCCTCAAACTCGATATGTGACATTCGATACAGCAACAGAATCAAATTAAGTGGTATATTTGTATCCCCTTAACAGTACTCCATAGTTGCAATTCATCCCGCCCTTCCAGTGGGTTCTGCACTGATGATCACCAGTAATGCCAACGTCACATCATCATCCCTCCTCCTCCCCCTTCCCCCCCAAAAACCAACTTCCTCCTTGCCCTGACGCAATGGGTACTACTCACAAGGTAGGGAGTTTCCCACCACCCACGATGTATCAGGTCACCTAGAAGGCAAATCAATCCAATCACTGAACGAATTAACTTAACCCATCCTATCCCATCCCAGCCCTAGCCAGGGATGAACATTCTATGTGTGTGTGTATGAGTTCATGCAGAAAGACAGAAAGAAATAGAAAGATACTTGGTTACATACACCACTTGACGTCGTCCTGAATCGAATCAATTCATTTCAATGTCATTTGTGTATCCCCAATACCGGGCCACCATACAGCCCCGAGACCCCTGTATCCTGGTATCCCGTATTATTGCAAGCCCCAGGCATCTTCTCGGATTTAACCAAGTACTACTCCGTAATTGACTGAGAACTAGTTAATACTGAATTTATGAACACAATTACTTAACCAATACATAGTACAATCCCTGACTCAGCGGAGCCACCGGAAGAGAAGAAACAGAAGAAGCAGAGGGAGGCAAAAAAATGGAACCTGAAAGTGGGCAATTTGCTATTTTTGGTCGGGGAGGACCCGGTCGGGTGCTAAAAGTAAGTAGGTAATCTAGTATCTTACTGGCTTTTAGTCGAATGAGCTTCCGGCTTCCGTCCACGCTTCGGTATCGAATAGAAATCCTCATGGTTAGTTCTTCCGAGTTACCTACTACTTAATTACTTTGATTGTGAGTGATCTCATCCGAATCCAGTCCACCGGGGAGCGAGCCGGTCCACTTCTTTCCCTCCTACTAAGCACATCCGCGGATGCATATACATATTAAGCTTAAAATCCACTGTTTGGAGCTACTGTGTATACTGGCGTGCATTTGGTCCTTGGAATCACGTTAGTTGCAAATCTTTTTGCGCATCATTGGGGATCAATCCTTGAGTTGTGTTGCGGTGCCGAGTACTGCGCCAGTGGCATGTATAGTTGCTATAGAACGTCTCTACCACGAAGACTACGAACCCGCTACACTGCATCTCGACTCAATTGAAGAAATGGACAAGCAGTTTCATTGCATAACGTCACACCTGCCCTTGGACAAGTGCCCCAAAAAGAAAACATAAGAGTCAAGCACAAAACATATCCCGGTGCAAGATCCATCGCAAGACGCCAACCCTACCGACACTGAAAACGAAAGTGTAAACAATCCACGGCATATCCCAGAAGCAGTTCCCCCCATTGATCAAAAAGGTGGCCAAGGAACAAAAAAAAAATAAGGACAATAAAAAATTACAGCAGAAGAGACAAAGGGAATATAGCTCGAGAAAGATCATCCGAGGCACACATCACCGACTAGGAGGAGCCGGGTTCAAGTGGTCGCTGACAACACGGTCTCAGGCGCCCACAGATTTAAGCAGCAGTCTCCTTTGCAGCAGCCTTCTTAGTGGTCTTCTTGGTGGCCTTCTCTGCAGGCTTAGCCGTCGTCTTAGTCACCCGGCCACTCTTGGTGGTTTTGAGGACCTTGGGCTTGTCGACAACGGCGGGAGCCTGCTTCAAGATTAGTATACCCTGTCCGCCGGGGGTGAGAAGGCAGGAGTCTACAACTTACAGTAGTGGAGGACTTGCGAGGCTTGGCCGTGTTAGCCTTGGGCCTGCCAACAGGCTTCTTAGCAGTGGTGGTGGCCTTCTTGGTGGTCTTGGGCTTCTCGGCCTTCTCGGCCTTCTCAGTCTTCTCGGTCTTCTTGGCAGCAGGCTTCTTAGCAGTAGCAGCCTTGGTGGCAGTCTTCTATGGACAGTGTTAGTAATAGTTCTCTATCAGTTCGAAATGTCATTGATAAAGACTTACCTTAGCAGCAGGCTTGGGGGCAGCTTCCTTCTTGGCAAGCTTCACGGGTCCGGAGGGGCCTGGTTGACGACGCGTCAGTTGACACGCCCCATCAAAAAAAAACAAGACCGAAAAATGAAAGACGCGAACGACGGCAGTCAAGACACATCCTTCCATGTCAGGAGTATCGAATGCCGTTGCGACATGAGAAGGCAAAAAATGCGCGCGACGGATTGACTTACCCTTGGGCTGAAGGAACTCGCCCTTCTCAACACCAGCCTTGATGGCCTTGTTGAACTGGCTGTCGAAGGCGTTGGTGGAGGCAGAAGCAATCTTATTGTTCGCCTGAACATATTTCTTGATCGACTGGCGGCTACAGTCGAGGAGAAACAAGACGAGTCAGCCGAGATCGCGACCTGGACAGGGTGATAGGTTGCCACGTCGCCAGCGAACGGGACCCTGCATCGGGCGGGGGAGAAGAAGCACCAAACAACTTACCTGCTACCATTGCGCTCTTTCAGCTGTTGCGAAAGAAGTCAGCGACCCATTTGGGAGGTGAAACAAGCAGGAGCCCGATGGGGCGTTGGGACAATTAAGCACCGTGTAGACGTGTCACGGTCGGAGATCCCGCCCAGCGCCCGTTCATCCCAACGCGCACCGGGAACAGCGTGATTAACTCACATTCAGGATAGCATCCTTGATCATATCTATATTCATGGAATCAGCAGTCATTCGCGACAAAAACGATATTAATTTCAATTCTACGCGATGGGTTGGTGGTGGAAGATCAGTCAAAACATACCACGGTAGGAGGCGTGGCTCGAGCCGGACTTCTTGGTGGTGCCGGTGGTGGAAGTCTTCTTGGGAGGCATGATGAAAGAGGGGTGGGTGGTATTATCTGAGATGAAATAAGAGGTAGTTGATGGATGATGGACAAGAGAGAAAATCCAGATGATTTGACAAGCAAGGATGGGATGGTGGGATGGAAGCAGAGAAGAAGAAAAGCAGTCGACGACGGAAGGGGTGGAAGGCCGCGGGGCATCCGCGCTTTATAGGGCAGCGGGTGTTGACACAGGATCAACTCGACAATCGAGCACAACACGTCAGGTCGCCCTTCTCCTCTTTTTTTTTTCCCTCATTCCTTTTTTTAAGATTTTTCTCTCCTCGTCTCTTTTTGCGTGTGAGATTTATCTGTGTCTTTGCCTCGGTTGCGTAGTGGCTCAAATTAATTTGGTTTTATTGTATCAATGTTCGTGTAGTTCTTCTTGTAGATTGTCTATGCATTCCTTCTGGGCCGAGTTGCTGCTTCCTACTATTTCTTGACGCGCATGATCCAGCAATGATTCCTACGCGTGCTCACTTCCCTTCAATTTTCCCCCTTTCTTCTGAGTCGTACAAAGCTAAGAGTTGGTCGAAGCATATCTTTAGTGGCGCTACTATCATCCTACTACCTTGAATTATTTTTATTAATTTTTGTTGTTCCTAAAACCCGCAACCATTCTGATCCCAACATCATCCGTCTCCGTTGTGATTGATGCTTTTCGCATCCACCACACCATCTCCAGTCGCATTCATACCACACCCAACAATTCAAATTTCTAATCAAATAAAGACCATTTTCAGATTCTTCACAGACTTATCATTCACTGTATCTACAAAAATAACCCAAATACGTAGTCAACCCCTAATTCTGGCCCCAAAATCCCCGGGGACTCCAGATCACATCCATCCGTGTCCGCCCGATTACTTCGCAGTCCGATCAAGCTCCCGGATCATCTTCCAACTTACACACGATGATCACAAAAAAATAGAACCGATTTGACGCCCCTCTTTCCCCTTGCATCAATCACATTCATTGGTCTTCACGTCTGGCGGGGGGCGCAAATCTATGAATGGAACGGCCGGGGGAAGGAGGCGTTCATGTTTCACTTTGTTCTGCTTTCCCTCGTGCGGAGGCTCTGGGGTCACGAGGTGCGAGATGATGTTATGGATTTGACTTTGGGGAAATTGGGGGGTAGACCCAGCTCTGGACTACCGTTTCTACTAGCTTTGTGACCAGGTGAAAAGTCCTGGGGAAATCCGGGCCTATGATCGACCCTTCTTGCTCTGTGATCCAAAGCTCCATTGACTTCGATCCCGTGGTTACATCGGCTTGGCGGTTGCTCGCGGTTCGATGGCTTGGAAGTAGATAAGTGTGCTCTTTTCCCTTGTACCACCTGGTCTGATCTCTGCTTCATTGGCTTTCGCGTAGGTATCTCTTTATGGGATTAGGTATTCGTTTGGGGTTGTTACGCAGACTTGAATCTAGAATGATAGTAGATGGTTGATATCGGCGGCGGGCCGGTTGATCGGTTGATGCCATGCGCCGGATCACGAGTCCTGATAAGAGGACACTCTCTTTCTTGATCCTCGTCCCAAACCACCGTATTCACGGGTCTATTCCACATGGTAGATTAATCTTTGATGCCTAGAATAACTCAGGTACTGAAATTGCATATGACAGCTAATGGACGACTGGTTAAGCTTGAGGAATGCTTGGCTCGAGTATCAGGGTCCATCGGCTTCAGCATCCGTGATCTACTTCACTCCCGCCCACCACAACGGCTTTAGCCCACTGCTTACTTTATTACTTTTGCGTTATTTTTCTTTGCTAATCAATTATAGACTTGGGTCTGTGGCCATGCGGATCTTCTTCCATTGGTCAATACATAGCATGGTGAATCCTTTTAGTCGATGTCAATCCCACATCACACTATATATTCACGTAGTAGCTTCCCCTCACCCGAGTGGCTTTAGTATCACTACGCCACCAAAAATCATGGAATATCCAATAATAGTGTTTACTAAACTCCCAAGATCATTCGAAAATCCCACACACAATTTGTATACTCTACCGAACACTACTCTATATATATACCGTGACAGAGAAGCGAGGACAAAGTCGATGATCCGAGCAACGCGCGTATAGTTGTAGTAGTAGTAGTAGAGCGGAGACTCGCATGACCCCACCCACCCCAAGAGCAATCGTACGACCTTCACCACCATAAAAGAAAGTTTATAATAGTAGCGCACAATATACTCCAGCAAATACCACAAGCTACGATATACCCCTACACAACCATACACAAAAAAAAGGAGCAAAAGAAAAGGGGCGCACGCGATGCGATCCAATGCGATGCGTCTCACCGGTTTCCCGATCTACATACACCAAAACCTTGATTTGAGTGCTGCACAACTACCAGTCGGGTTGAACCCCCCAGGCTTAGAACAAGTGTAATCATGTCAGGCAACAAAGTTCCAATTTCCCGCAGAACCATTAGCTGCCTTATCTATCTATAGTATGTGTTGGTTGATTTTATTTTTCTTTCGATAATCTTTCCTTCTAGGGCAGCAAAAAAGAATCTTCCACGTCGTAGGTATATACGTGGCATGCTGGACTCGTGCATGGTTTTTGTGCATCATCCATTCATCCATTTATCCCGCCGTTTGAAACGCCTCTCTCGCCTGAAGTACTAGTTACACATAATCGACTGGATTTTGTAAACGAAACCCCCCGGAAACGCCTCTAGCCATCAAGAGTATTGGAAGGACTCAGTGAACCCTTGATATCTCGACAATTGGTGTCGGTCAAAGTGTCGCTGGTTTTTCATGGCCTTTATCCAAGGACCAAAATTGAGACAAAAGTCTTATGCTGGTACTCAACCAGCACCGCGAGGCCGTGACTTGGCCTCTTTCTTGGCCTTGGCCTCTTCCTTCTTCTTCTTTTTCTGCTCCTGAATCTTTTCGTCGTGCTTGCGCTTTAGGCTCGCCTTCTCTTCATCCGTGCGGGCGACCGGCTTGAAAAAGCCCTCTAGGCGGGATTGCTGAGCAGATTTCAAGTTCTTTTGCAAGCGGGCAGCACCGTTCTTGACGCGGTCCTCGTTGAAACCCTTGTCTTTGACCAGGAAGTCTACCAGACCGGGCACGTCGGGCGCTTCCCATTTGAAGTCGCATTCGGGGTCATTGGCGTCCCTCACATCTGGGTTCAGAAAAAGCTCTCTGGCATCCTCGTAGGGCCAATCCTCAGGGACGACAAACTTCTTCTTCGGGTCGTTCTCCATAAACTCAAGCACCTTCTCCAGACTTCCGTGATCACGGATTAGCTTCAGCGCCGTGTTAGGCCCGACCTTGGGGATCGGCTCCAGATAATCACAACCTAGCAAAATACAAAGATCAATGAACTATGTTGCATCAGTAAGCTTCCTTGAAACGTAGGTATAGCCATGACCCCAAAGAACATACCTGCTTGCGGTCCATACCAAGACCTTCCAGCGCACGGTTCAAATGGATTTCCTGAATGGGTTCCTTTCTTTGTTCACTGAACGTAAGGTGGCGCAGAAGGATTGGTGTCTCAAAGCATAGCGTGTCCATATCCTCCGAAGCAGCTGCATAGACCTTTCCAGCGCGCGCGAGAACCGCGCACTGCGCCTCGGCTTCCGTGGGGGCATCGATGTACGGAATGCCCATCAACTTCAAAAGTTTCTTACATTCTGCGTTGTGCTCCCTGGTGACTCGTACTGTGCGTCGCGAGAATTTCTCAACGTCTTCTGCCGTACCGGTTTCCTTGGCCTCCTCGTGAGCCTCGGTGGCTTCGCTCTTCCGAGCAAATCGCTTGGCCAGTTCGCCGGACTTGAGCTTTGGGGGAGCTCCGTCAAATACGTACAGAGGCTTGATCCCATTGTCGACCATGCGCAGAGTGCGGTAGAACATGCCCATCAAATGCGACGTTGTCTCTCCGGTGTCGCTCATAAGCTGCTGACCTTCGGAACGGACTGCAATGAGGAAACTGTAAATACTCATGGAGCTATATGACCGTTAGTGGACGAGAACGAGATAACCGGGGTAGTGAAAGCCTACGCATCCTATAATCCAATATCGTCAGCTCTGTCCGAAACGCGAACAGCTAGCTCACTGAGAGCAACCGCATACTTTGATGGGGGGACGCTTAACATACTATGGCGACCTTGCGGCCAAAGTGGTTCTTAATGTCCCCTGCCTTGATGGCATCTGGGGCATTTTCTGAAATCACCTGATACAGCTCTGGGCGTGGTCAGCTTCCATGGGCCGCTGAGGATGGATGAATGCGCTGCGACAGAGCGGTTTTGCGGAGGGGTGATATCAATTGGGATTACTCACGTTTAATACCCATCTTGAGACTTTTTACTGCTATCCAAAACCAAGTAAGGTACAGACTCTCAATCACCGCAAGCTGTTGGGAAAGATGGCAGGCAGAAATCCGAGGAGAGCCGCGACAGTGACGCGCCGCGGAGAAGCTAACGCGACATGCGTCATTTATAGACCCGGTTAGGCTTAGCGGCAGCCAGGCAGCTCTCTCCCACGTGACAGACATCCGCCCCGCGGATGGAAAGTTCCCCGGCCCCTCTTACATAAGAGGCATCAGGCTGCAAGGCCACCAGGCCCCACCCGGCGAGACCCCGTGCAGAACCAAAAGCAGTAAGGCGTGGTTTGTTATCGGGCCTGGCCGTCTCGGACTCTCGGTCGAGCAGGCAAATCGCAGCTCTCGGAAACGCAACCGCCGGCATCTGCCATGCCCACCCCCAGACCCCTCTCTCCTCTCCTTCTCTCCTACTAGCATTGTTCCTGTGTCGTTGGCCCTGTTATGGTGGATATAGCCGGAACCATCTCCACCCCCCACGCGAGCTACATGATTTGCCTATGACGATGCGTCTTGCATTGGCATCATGAAGCGCAGTCGACTTCATTTCGAGTCTAACGGTGATGCCTCCTCTGCCGCCTCTCCCCAGAGTACCCGCCCACAGTATACCCCGGAAAATGACTCACAGCAGAGCCCGAGACATGTTCCCAAGATCTCGCGCAGAATCCGAGCATGTACGGAATGTAAGCGCCATAAGGTCCGCTGTGATATGAATGCGGGGGAGACCGTTTGTCAGAGATGTCGCCGCATGGGCCTGGAATGCGTTGTCAACAAAAGTCTCCAGACGTTACTGGACGACGAGACAGAGTAACTAGACCTCTTCTTTGGTTTTGATTCGCATAGCTTGCTAAGGGACGATGTGGCTAATTATCTTTGGTGTACTCTAGATGGAAGGCCACAATAGAGCTCGCAATGGCAGATTTGCTACGGAAGGCCCAGCTGCCCGATCTTTCGTATTATCAGACTAACGGAAAGGCATCGGAGCCACTGTCAAAGAAAAGAGACCGGCAGGATTCTACAGTGTCGACAGAGGACACGCCTCATGGGACGGATCACGATTTTGGAGCAGAGCGCCTCGAGAGCAGCGCGCAGAGAGTCGCACCCGAGTCCAGAACATCCGAAACGACCTTCCAACAGTCTTCACAATATGCCCTAGACAGGGAAGAGAATGGAACCTCATCGCTGGTGACGGCACCGATGGGAAGTCTTTACGAAGTGACACAGTTGAGCGATATCCAGACAACTTCACCGGGAAGGCATCATGCGCCCGATCGGGCTCTTGTCACAGATTTCGTTTCACGGGGAGTAGTGGATTTGCACGAGGCGGAGGAGCTGTTCTCCTACTTTGATCAAGTACTTAGCCGTTATCTATGGGATGGGATATTGCTGGACCACAAAGACCTGACCTCCGTGAGGAACTCTTCCTCAATGCTCTCTGCCGCCATTCTCGCTGTCACAGCCCTTCATTTGCCCAAGAAAGAACGCACATTCGATATTTGCTATACGGAGTTTGCTAGGTTAGCATCAGAATCAATGCTAGACAGACACCACACTCTGGATGATCTGCGTGCGTTATGTATAGGCGCCTTTTGGCTTGCAGACGTAAGCTGGAAGCTGTCTGGGTATGCAGTCCGAATTGCCACGGAGCGCAACCTGCATCAGTCTTACCGGAAAGCAACACAAGGTTCTCCGGAGCACATAGAACAAGCTAGGCTGTGGTATCTTCTTTATGTACGTCTCAACGCTACCGAATGTAGCTCTGGTGGGCTTCGTGCAACGAGACTGACTGGCCTAGACACTAGAGCATCACTTTTCCATCGCCTACGGACGACCGCCGATAATCCACGAGGACCAGAGCATCAAAAATCACAATACATTCACTCATACCCCTAACGTGCAACAAGGTGACCTGCGTCTACACAGCCAGGTCGACCTGTTCATCATTCTTACCCGAATATACCACGCCTTTGGGCCCGACGTCGACTTGGAGGTTCCCGACAGCGAATTCTCTACAATTGATAAATATGACGCTGACCTTGACAAATGGCGGATAGCCTGGTATCCGCGCTTGGGTACGTTTTCTGATCCTCAGTCTTTGAACTGGCCACAGTTTTCGCTAATGTGGCTCAAACGAGCAGTTGGGAGCCGATATGTCGGTGCATATCCTTATAGAGCGGTTAATCTGCATTATCACTTTTCTCGGTTACAGTTGAATTCGGTTGCTTTGCGGACCTATCACTCTTCGATATCGACACGACCCATGTCTGCTGAGCGAAAGAAGCGCGCGAATATAGCCATACAGTCCGCCATCGACACGCTTCAGGTGGTCCTAGATGAACCCGATATACAGAGGGCTCTGGTTGGCGTTCCACTGTACCTCCACAGCATGATCACTTTTGCCGCCGTTTTCCTGCTGAAGATTGCGGCCAAGGGCTGCTCCAGCAGCATTCCCAACAACCAAGGCCAGCAGAACTCTATTTCATCAGCCGGCCTACATATCGACGTCGCGTACGTGCGCGAGCTGGTTGGGCGGATCGTTAATATGATGGTCTCGTGCAGTAAGCGTGCAAGCGAGCACCATCTCAGCCACCACATAGCCCGTGGCTTGCGAAAGATGCTCACAGGGTTGGAGGAATGGGAGAAGAGGAATCTCGGTAATTCCCAGTCTCTGACACAGAATTCTCATGATACTCTACCGATGTTTAAACCGGTTGTTATCCCCGGGGCTCAGCCCCTTGGCGAACGGGATACGATACTGAACCCGCCTCCTCCGTTGCTGGGGGTCGCTCCCTTGTCTGCCGAGAGAGGGAATAGCTTTGATTCGGATGCCACGCAAGCAAAGGCCCAGACGGGCCTCTCCGAGGGGTCGGTGGACCCTATGATGGCCGATCTCTGGGGCTTTGATGAGGATTACTTCCCGACCGGGGTGTTTGATTTCCTTCAGTCTCAGATGCCTGCTTGAGCACACGTATGGAGCAGAAGCGTTATCGTGGTGCTGATGCAGGGCTATGAGCCAGCTATCACTGGGGTCTATGTAAGCGGAAATATAAGCCGCCTAATCAAGGAGTATATAGCTTCCAAAGTACAAATCTAGGAACGAAGAGGCCTTGACCTTTGTATGGGAGCTTTATGGCTACCACGCCTAGTCTACATCTGACCAATGCATCAATCCAACCGATAACCATGATCAATGTGGTTGATCCCAGGAAAGTAGTTCTCCACTCTAGTATTCGCCTTCGCAGGCTAGCCTGGCAATTGTTGTAAGGTTGATAGTTATTAGATAGCGGACAGTATTGATGATTATAAAGTGCTTTCTCTCGTAGATCTCAACATATAAACTCGGGATATACATACGCACTCCTACGGTTAATTGCCGGACAAACGAGATATCCGCAGGGTCTCTATCTATACAAGTCTGAGGCGTGCAGGTTATTGGGCGCCAGCGCCGACGGAACGGCCTACCACCCGAGCCCGGCCGCGGAAGAGTCTCTGCGGCTCGGCTTGAGGGTCTTGGAAGTTCAATGACCCTGAAGCATATAAGGAGCGTCTCTACTGCTTGAATCTGTCTTACAATTCAGAGGAATATCACTCAATTGCGTATATTGTCTATTAGTGCCCTTGTGTAAGTTTGCTGCTCCAAGGAAGCCTTTCCGACGGATTGCCGAGGTTGGGGGAAACCGAGACCGAGAGTTGTGCCTGGATGAATGTCTCCCCGCAACAACCTCCGAACCATCTATCCCTTTACTGTCGCAAGCCTAGTTGGCTCTCGCATCCCCAAGATACACTGATCTCTCAATTGACTTGCCTTTGATAATAGATATCTTGAACTCATTTTCTTTATCCTTGCCCGTGCCTACAATTTCACATCATGAACCCCTCCAGCTTCCGCACGGCTTCGCGCCACCTCCACCGCCTGTGTCGAGCGCCCGCAACTTCGCGCAATGCTTCGGTCCGTGGATATGCGACGACTTTCAACTGGGAGGATCCTTTGGTTGCGTCCGAGCTGTATACAGAGGAGGAATTGGCTATCCAAGACACTGCTCGGCAATACTGCCAGGAACGACTGCTACCCCGCGTTCTAGGTACGCCCGCCACTCCCTAAGGAGATCCCAGTTAGGGAACCTTTCATGTGCTAGAGTTATTGTGGCTAATAACTATGCGCATACTAGATGCCTACCGGAACGAGAACTATGACCGCCAGATCCTGACCGAGATGGGCGAGCTCGGCCTCCTCGGCGCGAACATTGAAGGGTATGGTTGCGCCGGCGCAAGCACCGTGGCCTCCGGCCTGATCACGAAGGAAGTCGAGCGTGTGGACTCAGGATATCGTTCGGGAATGTCTGTGCAGAGCTCTCTGGCTATGACGGCCATCCATGACTTCGGTACACAGGAGCTGAAGGACAGACTCCTCCCGGAGCTGGCGAAGGGAAAACTGGCTGGATGCTTTGGTCTCACTGAGCCCAATCACGGCTCTGACCCTGGCTCCATGGAGACAGTCGCCCGGGAGCACCCTACCAAGAAGGGCTACTACTTGCTCTCTGGCACCAAGACCTGGATCACCAACTCCCCGATCTCCGACATCATGATCGTCTGGGCTAAGCTGCAGACCACGGGCAAGATCCGTGGATTCGTCGTCGAGCGCAGCCAATGCCCACCGGGTACTCTGGAGACGCCCGCCATCAAAAACAAGACCGCCCTGCGCGCCTCTATTACCGGCATGATCCAAATGGATGACTGCCCTGTTCCTGCGGAGAACATGTTCCCTGAAGTGCAAGGGCTCGCTGGTCCCTTCACCTGCCTTAACAGCGCTCGTCTGGGCATTGCCTTTGGAGCTATGGGTGCGCTTGAAGATTGCCTGAGCCGTGCGCGCACCTATGCACTTGAGCGCAAGCAGTTCAAGGGTAACCCGCTGGCGAAGTATCAGCTCATTCAGAAGAAGCTGGCGGATGCGGCTACGGATGCTGCGTACGGCACTTTGGCTGCCACGCAGGTTGCCCGGCTCAAGGATGCCGGAAAGTGCACACCGGAGATGATTTCGATGGTCAAGAGACAGAACTGTGACCGTGCCCTGGCTAACTCGAGAATGTATGCCCTCCCCTGTCTTTTGTTTTGTTTTCTACCCTATGATCTTTGGCCAGAATAGCCTGCTAACTTGGTTGATTCACCCATTACAGTCTTCAGGAAGTGTTTGGTGGAAACGCCACGAGTGACGAGTACCATATTGCCCGGCATGTAGCCAACCTGTTCGTGGTGCAGACTTATGAGGGACAGAGTGACATTCATAGTAAGTACCATCTTATACCACCGAACCAACATCTGGCTTCTTGCATGCTTGGCGACTAACCATAAACTAGCCCTGATCCTCGGCCGCGCCATCACTGGCGTTCAGGCATTCGTCTAAGACGGAGACAGACATGACAGGCACATACACTACACCCTCTAGATGCTACTACTACCTTGACTCATAGTCCACCTATCTACCTACCTGATGAGCACACCATCACATACATGTAAATATACAAACCACAATATTCAAACAAGAAATACCATAAACACGACTATAATAGTATATCATCTTCCATATATTTACCACCAAATAGAGTGAAAACATAGTAGGTATGAATCGACCCTTCCAGAAACGGTCTTCTCCATCACGTGAGAAAGAGTAAGCCATTGCTGCGCCACGTGGCAAGGCACCCGGACTGTATGTAATATTACAAACAGTTTGAGTTACTTACTTGGGTAAAGTTAGTCATAAAAGTGGTACAGAAGTGTGTTTCTCGTTTTCGCCTCCCAATCAAATGGATCGATGGTGGAAGAATGACCACACAGATCTTTCAAGTTCCAAGGTCTGAAGCCACTTCGGGAATAGAAAGTATGAAGAGTTAAAACATGTGCTTTATGTTTCTATGTTTCCACTTTGTACTATTAGAAGGGGGTTGGGGTTTGCCGAAGAGGGGCAACTTGTATCCATATGATCTATCTAGTAATCTACATATGGATGGATGTGGGGACAGGGATTGAAGGCACTGATAGTAGCTAGGGAAGATTTTGAAGGCTACTTACTTTGTTAACTTTGACCTAACTACTCTAAAGGAGTTTTGCAACTTGCCGTTGCCACTGCCGGGAAATATGGATCGGATGGAAGATTCATTCTGTGGGGTGTGGGTGGCACGGATGCTATACTTTTGATAGTAGTAAGTAGTAAGTAGTATCTGATACAAAATGAGAGAGGTGCAGGATTGTTATACTACCTTAATATAAGTCGGAGTATCTTTTAGGAAGTCATATGCTTGCCGGCATGCATGCACTTGAGGTAGTATCCTTACCCTTAGTAGAAGTACCCATCTACCTGTATTAGGTGTAGGTGTGACGTGCGTGATAGATTACGAGTTCTATTACAGTAAAGAAAGAGGAGGGAAGAAAAGGTAAAAACGAAAAAGAAAAGAAAAA